TTTTTGGTTAAATCGAACCCGATCCAAGATCGTGGTCGAAACCTGTGTCAAGCGCAGGTTCAGTGCAGTTTTATCTTTCAGTTAAATCGAAACTAATTTGAAATCGGAAGCCTATGTCAAGCGTAGGTCCAGTGCATTTTTTATCTTTTTGGTTAAATCGAACCCGATCAAAGATCGTGGTCGAAGTCTGTGTCAAGTGCAGGTCCAGTGCAGCTTTTATCTTTTGTTTAAATCGAACCCGATCCAAGATCGTGATTGAAGCCTGTGTCAAGCGCACGTTCCATTGCATTTTTTATCTTATCGGTTAAATTGAACCCGATCAAAAATCGAGATCAAGCCTACAGAAGCTAGGTTTCGTCACTATCTTTCCTGGCTTCAAATAAAATTTTGGCCTTTCAAATACTTTGTCTTTTTCATTTGTCTGCCCAGTTCTCAAGAGTACACAAAGAGGGCAAGCTGTAGACAAACATACCTTCTTTCCTCTCTTTTTCACCAACACCTCACTCTCTTACCTTTGTTATCCAACTCTTCCTCCCTCTAAAAATCTCCTCTCATATCCCAACATACTCCGGTGGTTTGCAACTCCAACGGCGGTGTGGAGAACAACGATAAAAGCTTACAGAAGTCTGATCCTCGACGATCAAACCCTTTGTTCCGGAAACCTTTGACGAATCTCCCTCCATCCCATAGATATTCTCTCTTTTGGTAAGTGAGGTTTGTAAAACTTTTGTTTTTTTTCTTATTTTTGTCGCATACATCTTGATCAGAAATTTTACATCGATTTGCATGTGAATGATTGATTAAACTTTATCACTTTTTAAGACTGTTTTGGGCTATTTTTTAGGCTGAAAATTGGAACTTTTTGGACTATTTTTTATGCAAAATTTATAAGTTTTTGTGACTGTTTTGGACTATTTTTGGGCTGAAAATTAATACTTTTTAGATTGTTTTCGGTGCAAAATTGTCAGTTTTCGAGACTGTTTTGGACTATCTTTTGGGGCTGAAAATTGAATGTTTTTAGGCTGTTTAGAGCGAAAATTGAATGCTTTTGAGATTTGTTGTATTGCTTTTTCTTTTTTTTTTGTAAAATTAAGGTTTTTTTTTGTTTTGTTCAAATTAATTCAAAATTGATGATGTAAAATTCTGAATGGAGGACTGAGCAATGTGCTTTCGTGGAGTTACGACTCTCGTGCAAGTGCATAAAAATCCTCAAATTAATTAAATTTTTTTTTGAAATAAACAGGAAATTGATTTTCAAAATAAGAGATAAATTGTTTTAAACTTAAGGTTAAAAACATTTTTAAAGAAAGATAAATTTAAAACGGATTTTAATTAAAATAAATGATTTTCAAAAGGCAAGATAAATTTTAAAATTTTCCAAACAATAAAATATTTTAGAATAAAACAAAGTTTTCAAATTCACTTTGTTTTAAAATTAATAAATAAACAAAAAATAATAAATCTTTCGAAAAACTCCGACGGAGATTGGAGAGATAACTTTCCAATATTTTTGAGGTGACAATTTTTACTAATGGCATTCGTGCCACTCATAATTGTTAGTTCATATTTTAATTCAAAATGTGAATTAATAAAATATGAGACATTTAAAATAAAACAGAGACCAATAAATTAATAGGATAATTTAACATAAAATATGGGAACCGTTTTCGAACGGGTGCTGTAGGGTGCTACCTTCCCTACACTCAATCGACTCCCGAGCCAAAATATATTTTCGTAGACTATTTTTTTAGGTGACCAATCACACCTCATAGTTGGTAGGGAATGACGTCGGCCGCCCAGTGTCGCAATGACGTTGCGACATATGAAAAAACTCTTTACATTTTAACACTTATGTAAAATTAAGTGGAATTGAAATAGAATTTTAAAAGGAAAAAAAATGAAAACAAAATCTACAAAATTAAAACAGAATTTCAAAAGGCAAAAAGAAAAAAAAAAAGGATCCCATGGAGAGCCAAACGTCTTCAAGCATGCCAAAACAGAACCAAGCTAGATAGTTTCCTTATCACTAGGCTCACCAACCAACCTGGACTAAATAATAAANACTACACATGAGTTAAAGACAAGTTTAGTATTACTTAAAAAATGAAGGATAATATTGTCAACAAAAATCAAAATATTGTGAGATAGAAAAAATTGGGAAAAAAGAATACATGTTGTCCATCGATTATGCCTTCAACGTGATCTTAGGCCCTGAGTCATCCTCCGAAGAATAAGAAAAAGAAAAATAAACCTTTGTTTAAAATGAGTGAAGATAGTATTTTTTATATAGAATGATAAAGAGGTTGCAAAACTTTTAAAATTCTACACCTTTTAATATAATTAAACACTATTAAATGATGATGAAAAAACTCACGAAATTGGAAAAGACTTTCAAAATACAAAATAAAATAAAATAATAATAACTGTAAATATTAAGCATAAATGATTTCAAAAGAAAAAAAATCAAATAAAAACTTAAACATAAGTGAACGGCGTGTATTGTATTAAGTAAAAACATGAAGGGTAACATTGTCCAAAAAATATTTATTCCATATTCGTACTTTTTAATATACTAGTGTATCACCCGTATGCAAATACATGTAATATTCTTTTTATTTATTTTTTCATTAATAAAATAATTAGTAAAAATATCACTATTTATTGAAAAAATATATCAAAAGTAAAAAATTTAAAAGAAATTTTATAAATTGATACAATAATATAACTCAATTTTTGTTTGGTGACATAATGTTGGAAGAAAAATCTCGAAAAAAAAGTATTAAAATTTTGAAATTTAAACTAAATTGATTCCCCAACTATAATATTTTTCTTACTAAAAAAATGATTGATTCTTTCCCCTAGAACTTATCCATTTTTCTTTAAAACAATAGATATTCATAAATTTATATTTATAAGTTAATTTTACTTATTATATTTAGATATTTAATAAACAAATATAATATTTATTTTGATACAACAAATAAATAAAATTATTATATTAATTTTAATGAGTTATAATAAAAATTTACGATTTTCAATAGAAATTTATTTAGAGTTTTAATTTAACATATTTATAATTTAACAGATTTATATATCAATATATTTTTAAACAAAATATTCCTATGCATATTAAAATATCATTTTTAGCTACTTTTAATTTAACCATTACTAAAAATTTGCTATAAGAAAAACAATTACTAAAAATTTGCTATTTTCTTTGAATAAAACTCAAAAAATAAAAATAATAACATTATTGCTTAACGTAGTATGATATAACTTTTTTTTTTAATTTACAAATAAGAGAGAAAGTTGATTGAATAAACCATATTACATAGATAAAAAATCATAACTATATTAATTGCAAAATAATTTATAACATTTGTAGGAATGATTGAATACTTGAATTTATCATAAATTGTCCACGTTGAGATCAAATTGTAAGATTCAATGACTTCTAGTTATAAACAACATTATATTACAACTATTATAAATATAAATATTCAATGTGCTACGTCACTGTGCACTATGGCACTACTAAATCTATATGTATAAAATTTAAAAGAATTGATAAAGAAATAAAAAGGAGGAAACTAAAGAAGAGAGTTAAATTATGGTGGGAAGAAGAAAGGAGGAACTCATATACACGTAGATGATGGATATAATTTGAAAAACTTTTGAGATTCCAATATCTTTTGAATTTCATTAAGTTCAATTAAAGTAAAATATAAATTATTAGAAGTAAATATATTTAATTTTTCATATTCATAACTTTTATGTTTTTATTAGTTAAAATTATTTAAAATAAAAGATAACATTCTTAGTAAATTAAAAAATTGATAAGTGAATAGAATAGTCAAAAAAATGTTTTTACAGATTATAGATTTAGATATAGATGTAATGATAATTTTACGTTAAAAAGTTTTCGTTATGCAATTTAATTTAAAATTTTGTAAATAGGGAATCAAAATGGTTGCTTAATTATAGGAATCAAAATCAGCATCGACTACGATGAACAAAAACTGGGAATAGATTGACTAAAACGAACAAAAATAATATTTTAGGTATGTTATTATTATTTCGTATAAAACAAACTTCTTTCGAATTTACGACTCTGTCCCAAAATTTGAATTCACTCGCCCCGCTACTCGCGAATTCCCATCTTCCTCGTCGGAAAACCCCCACTGAAACTCAAATCTTCTCTCAGTTCTTCCCCATTGAAACCCAAATCTTCTTCCTCTCCGTTACTTCACCACTTCGTTTCTATCTTCATGGCCATTCTGTGAGGCATGGCGGCGATGGAGAAGCTGTTCGTGCAGATCTTCGAGAGGAAGAAGTGGATCATCGACCAAGCCAAGCACCAGACCGATCTCTTTGACCAGCACCTCGCGTCCAAGCTCGTTATCGATGGAATTGTTCCTCCGCCTTGGCTGCACTCCACTTTTCTTCACTCCCGCATTTCGCATTTCGAAGGTAATTCCGCAGATTTCCATTTCTTATGCTACATGGTCACTTAGGGATATTAAACCAAATATTTTCCCCCTTCACAACGTTTTTGTGCTCAATTGGTTTCTCGTAGTTGCAGAAGCGAACAAGGATTTAATTTCTGAAGTTGAATTTCCGCGTTCTCCGCTTGAGACCCATCATTCTAGTTTGAACGAGGTATCGGTTGCAGACATTAGGGAGGAGTTGCAGGCCAGGTTGAGTGAAGAAGCTGGTTCTTTAAACGATGGTTTTGAAGCAGGAATTAGGCTGTCAGTTTTACCCCCATGCGACATAAATGACGCTGGATGTGCCTCAAATGGCGCCACTCATACTGAGATGAGTCCTGTTTCACCTCAAGCTCGACGAGGTGTAGTTTCAGAAAATCACCAAGATCCTACTCTGTCATTGGCACGGCTACATAGGTCTAAATCTAGGCAAAGGGCTTTAGAGTTACGCAATAGTGTGAAATCTGATAGATGCCAATCCCGGTGTCAGAACAAGAATGGTTCCGTTGCTGGTGGGATTGCGGGATCTGCTATTAGTTTGCTGCATTCGGGTCACGAAGATGAATCAGAGTTGGCAAAGCCTTCTAGTAGCTGTAAGGGAATTGGTTCTGTAGGAGAAGAAGCTAATGTTTGTGGCGAACAGAAGGATATCTCTATTTGCTCTAATAAAATTACAATAGTTGGAAACTCTGGGTTGCAAAGTAGCCATATTCATGTGGATAATTCTGTAAACATTTCCTCTGAAGATGGAGGGTTATGTCTAGCTGGAGGTTCAACACGAAAGTCTGATCAAGATACTGAGCAATTCGACTCTCCCAAACCTTCTTCTGGGAAGATTAAATACTGTGAAGAAGCGTCGGGATATTGCAGGAGCCAGGAATATAATTTTGGTAATGCTGAACAGTCTGGGTTGCAATATAGCTCTTCGGACGTGGATAAATCTTCATGCACTTCCCCTGAAGATGGAAGAGCATGTCCTGTTGGAAGTTCAAAACTGCATTCTGATCAAGTGGATGAGCAATTGGACTTGTCTAAACCTTCTGGCAGCCAGGAGTATAACCTTGATAATGCTCAACAGTCTGGATCACACCACAGCTCCCTGGATGTGAACGATTCATCATACATTGACTCTGGAGATGGAAGATCATTGGACTTGTCTAAACCTTCTTCTAGCAACGTTGAAAGCTGCAAAGAAACAATATTAGGACATTGTAGGAGCCAGGAATGTAATTTTGATAATGCCCAACAGTCTAGGTCCAAATACTGCCCCCGGGATGTGGATAATTCTTCATACATTTACTCTGAAGATGGAAGATTATGTCCCAATGGAAGTTCAAAAGTGCATTCTGATCAAGTGGAAGAGCAATTGGACTTATCTAAATCTTCTTCTGACAATATGGAGTGCTGTGAAGAAGCAATATTAGGAAATTTCGGGAGTCAGGAGTATAATTTTGATAATTCTCAACAGGCTGGGATGCAACATAGCTCCCTTGACGAGGATAATTCTCCATGCTTTTCCTCTGAAGATGGAAGTTTATGTCCTATTGGAAGTTCAAAACGACATTCTGATCAAGTGAGTGAGCAGTTGGAGTCGTCTAAACCTTCTTCTAGCAATATTGAACGCCGTGAAGAAGGATTAGGAGACTGCAGGACCCCTGAACAGTCTGGTCCAGATAAAATTTCCAGTGCACCAGTAATGGAAGTAAGGGAGGAGAAAGCATCAGATAAGAAGTCCACTTTTCTGGATGACAAGAGGGCTGTTAATGAAAAGGAAACATGCAATTCATCCCTTCACATGCATTTGCCACAGATTCAGGTAGACTCAGTAAAGGAAAACGAATCTTGTATAGGTGTATCTGAATTTCATAGTGAGAAGAGATGTGAAGTGAGAGAATATTCAAGTGAAAATGCTCTTCCGTCTGCTGACAAATCACTGCAAGATTATGAAAAAGTAGCTGCTTGTCCTTTGCTGCAAAGTGATGAACCTGCTGAACAAAATATATCTTTGAAAGATGGAGTTTCAAATTTGCAGTTTTCTCATGAAAATGTAGTTAAAATCCCACTAGTGGATACAGATAATGCATCTGTTCGGATAAGAGACACAGAACCGGCTAGAGATCTCATGGTCATGACTCCTTGTGTTGCTTCCACCGGTGAAAGGGATGGTAATTTGGAGCAGAAACTGAAAAATTCAGGCATGTCTCAGTATGAAGATTCAGATTCCTTTGAGGGCTGCACTGGTGACTTCAATGGTAACCATGATTACATATCAACTGAGTGCCAGACTGCAGAAAAATCGACAGAGTTAAAAGTTTTCAGCTCAGGTTTGAAGGCATCTAGTCCTCATAATAAGCAGAGTAAGGTTGAGTTCCAACTGAGGAATGGTAGTCCTGAATCTTTAGGCTTGAGGAGCAATAAACTTCAAATCATCAACAGGAGTACCATAGATCAAAAATTGATGCATGAATTTGACAATGAAAATCCCGTCCTTGAATTTCAACGATTCTCATTTTCCGAAGAAGGTTACCGACAACCAAATGCGAGTATTATCCCTGTTGAAATATTGCACTTTGAAAAGGAGGCTCACGTAATGCAGGGGTCTAAATCATCACCCACTCGTACAGTCAAAGAGGTATTGTTTAGAACGGAAGATTTAGTCTAGTCAGTGTTTTTAAATGTGTTAAGCGCAATAATCTTTTATGGCTTAATTGCTGGGTGGAAAGAAAGAAAAAAACGAAGGCTTGAAGCATATGATATATAAAATATACATTTCGTATCACTTACATTTATTGAAAAGTACCTATTGAAGAATGTGATGATAATTCTTCTAGTTCTCCCTTTTTGTTTCTTTTTGAGGTTGACACTTACTAAATAATGGCCCATCAGTTCATAACAAATTTCAGGGTGGACGATTTACTTGCTTTTGTTCTTTTCAATATGTTCTTTTCTGCATACTGTTTTTGAAATAATGGACCTAGGCTAGGATGCGAGATGACGGTAGTAATTCTGCTCGTGCTTGCTTCTCATAGGGTGCAATGTTCACTAAAAGCTAGCCTTATCAGTTTCTTGCAAACTTCTAGGCAGAGGATTTGATTGCCTTTCTTCTCCTTCCTTTTTACCTTTTCTATTTACTTCTCTTACATGATCGTGTTTCTTGGTCTATGACTGACAGGATCTCTCTAGGTTCGGGAGCAATAACAGAGGCACAACAGTGCAAAATGTTATGCTAGAGAGCCAAAGTTTTGATCGAAAAGAAAAATTTCAGTTTGGAGATAACAAAACTCCTGTTGATACTGGGAAAACTGAAGGAGAAGGGGAAAATGGAAAACTTACTTCTTGCTCGCTTATTACTCCCTATATTCAAACTTCTCATTATCCTAGTGCAGAGAAGGATATGCCTGCATTAGAGGGGTTCCTAATGCAGGCTGAAGATGAACAGCCATGCATTTCTGTTGGCAGAATCAACTTTGACAAATTAAATCTTTCAAAGTGTATGATAGAACGTGCTAGCATCTTAGAGAAACTTTGTAAATCTGCTTGTATAAATAGCCCATTATCCTCATCTTCAGAAAATTTTAAGTTGAACAAGGTAACAGATTTGGACCATTCTCTTCCTAATGGTCTTCTAGAGAGCAGGGACTTGGAGACTAACCTGACGAATGATCAAAATAAACTACTGATTGATGGTAGTAACTTTTTGAATGGGGAAGTTAACTACTCTCCTCATGGCAGGTCTTTTTCGGATTGCCTGCAAAGCTTTAGCAGTCATTCAGCTAGCGATGTCGGGAAGCCATTTGCGTCTCCATTTGGTAAGTTCTTGGATAGAAATTCATTAAATTATTCCAGTTCTGGGAAACGAAGCTGCCAAAGCATAGAGCTTCCTTGCATTAATGAAGAATCTGAGAATGCAGATGAGATTGTTGATGAATTTGCCAAGGATGTGGGATCAAAAAAGCGATTACCTCTGGTTGACATTACAGAAAATGCAAACCTTCAGGTAACAGTGACTGAAGCTGCAACTGTTGCTGATAGATGGAGTTTAGAATCTTTAAACCCAGAATTCAGCAACACAGGGACTCATAATAGAACCAAAGATAATATTGCAAATGAGAAAAACAGCAAGAGGAAATATTTGAACGAGGCCGTGAATCATGAAATCTTGCCAGGAGCAAACGGAGCTAAGAGAGTCACCAGATCATCTTATAATAGGTTTAGCAGGTCAGACTTATCCTGCAAAGAAAATCTCAAAAAGGAAGGTCCAAGATTCTCTGGAAAGGAATCCAGGCATAAAAATATTGTGTCCAACATTACTTCTTTTATTCCTCTTGTCCAACAAAGAGAAGCGGCAGCTATTTTAAAAGGTATGTTTTTCTTTTAACTATGCCTAGTATTCAAATATTAACACCAATTGATTATGTATGAACCTTAAACATTTCTTGGATATTGACATGTAAAAATATCTGAGGAATTTGATATACCCCTACTACTAGCTACTGAGTTGACAAAGAACGATGTTTTTAGATGGAATGTATGAGAATGCAACAACTAATTGAAGAGTCATAGGCTCTCCAACCAATACCATGCCCCTTACTGCTCCAGTTTCTTATTCTTCTGTTCTCTTCCTTCCACTAGGCACATGCTCCCTGACAGATTTATTAGTAGCAGAATCTTGCAAATTAAAAGACCAAGTCACCCCTAGCTGCTAATAGCCAACTAATTCTATTCCATAACCTGTGTGCTCGTATTTTTCTTTTGCCTCCTTGTGTGTTAAACAAGCTGGCAGCCTATCAGAATTTGATTTTGGTGAGGCATTCAACTTTATCTATTATCTTTTAGTATTCAGTTTGAACTGTGTGTATTTGATGATCAGAGTATTGTACCGAATTGTAATTTACCTATTGTGCATTCCTGTAGGAAAGAGAGATATTAAGGTGAAGGCCATTGAGGCTGCTGAGGCTGCAAAACGCCTTGCAGAAAAGAAAGAAAATGAACGTCAAATGAAGAAAGAAGCCCTTAAACTTGAAAGAGCAAGAATGGAGCAGGAAAATTTAAAGCAGGTTGAATTGGAGAAAAAGAAGAAAGAAGAAGAGCGAAAGAAGAAAGAGGAAGAAAGGAAGAAAAAGGAGGCTGATATGGCAGCAAAGAAAAGACAGAGGGAAGAAGAAGAGAGGAAGGATAAAGAAAGAAAAAGAATGCGTGTTGAAGAAGTTAGGAGACGATTACGAGAACATGGTGGGAAGTTACGATCTGATAAAGATAATAAGGAAGCGAAACCCCAAGCCAATGTAAGATTTTGTATGCTACAACGTTTGAACTTTCCTTAAGCCCATTGGGATCTGAAGGGTAACAATGGCTTATAATTCTTCTGTAGGACCAAAAACCGCGTGACAAAAAGGGATGTAAGGATGCGACTGAAAAACTGGAGAAAGAAAGTGGACCTGAAAACTTTGACAAACTGTCAGTGACTGAGTCCAAGACTAGTTCTATAAGCGGTGCTGGAAGAGCAAGCTTTGTTGTGGAGGACTCTCAAACAAGTGTATATTGCCCAGAGGCAGAGGTAGAGGTAAAGTGCTTTTATGAGTGCAAATTTCCAAAATTTAGTCACATCATTTAGAGTGAAATGTTATATTTCCATGATAGGAATGAAAAGCAAGTAACCGTCTATTTTCCCCCCAGTCTTTTACCTGAAAATATCATGATTTTTTTGGGGATAATAGATGAAGGGCACCACATTCAAACCTTTTTGTGGTAATTTTAGTCCTATATTTGAAAGATTTTGGGCTTCTAGATGAAGTTGGTTGTTGGAATTGGAAAGCAAGTCGTGGGATATTTTTTTTCAGATGGAAACATGAAAGCGATTGGAAAAGTAAGTACAGAATATTGAATGCGTAACACCTTAGGCTTCCACAATACAGGATTTATTTCCTAGATATTAAAGTTTTAGTGATCTTGCTGTATTCTGTACATGGATGTATTCAAAGAAAAATAATTATAGTTCATTTAGAAATTCTGTGGGACTTTGAAGAGGAAATATGACTTGAACTAGGAAATGTAGTTGAACTAAGAACTTTAAGACACTAATTAGTAATGAACTTTATCTAGCGCTTGACTATATCATATATAGCTTATCATTGAGAAAGAAAATAATTTATATTATTAAACTTTTGAATTAGAATACATAAAAGAAAAACTGTTTTCCACCCTAATTGTAGTGCTACTTCAATTGTGCTGGTCTCTTTTGTCCTACTTCTAAGTTCTACCTATAGCTGTACGATAACTGCCTGAGTATTTGGTAGCTTAGCTAGAATTTGTTGGCAAAATAATGATAAATCTTTCTTGGCTTGGGTTGAGCAAAATGGAATAGGATTTTTATGACTGTAATACACTTCTAGATGTTTGGTATGAGCAAGTCTAATTTATTGGTAGACTTTAACATCATGGTGAAAGAAGATTACTGATCATTTTGGGAGGATATCTTTTCCTGTTTTTGAGCTTCATATGACTGTAAAACCTTGGCAACCATTTCTTAAATTTTTTAATTTTAACTGCCTCGTGATGAAACTATTGATCTTCTTTAGGCACCTAAGAATGTGATAGAAAATAGGGTCTCCGAAACAAGTCAAGAACAATCATATCAGATTTCTCCTTACAAAGCTTCAGATGATGAAGATGAAGAAGAGGATGATGACGGCATACAAAATAATAAATTTGTTCCTTCATGGGCCAGGTGTGTACCTTAATCTGATGTTTTCAAATAAGGAAACAAATGCGATTCAAACTCCATTAATGCAATTGAGTACATTTTGGTTTTCTTCTGCCACAGCTTCGTCCTTTGTGCTATAGTCTATCATTTTGTTGGTTTTGGTCTTAGCTTGTGTGGATTGTAATTTTTTGAGAATTTTCTTTTTTGGTTTGGTTGCTTGTCCTTTGCACTCTAATTCGAAGTTTGTATTCTTGAACTTTTTTTTTTCTTTTCATCCATCAATGACAAGTTTGTTTCTTGTTAACATCTTTTTGTCAAAGATACTTGTAAGGACCAGTTCAAGTTTGCCATTTTTCTTGGTGAGAACTAATATCTTCTTACTTCCTTATGCAGCAAGGATCACTTAGCTGTCCTTTTTGCTTCCCAGCAAAAATTGAATCCAGAAATTATCTTTCCACCGAAAAGTTTTTGCGACATAGCTGAAGGTGATAAATTAACGTATAAAGATGGTTGCAGCTTCTGCTTTATATTAAATAAAAATAAACTTACCATAACTGTCTTGCCAGTTCTCCTGCCTCGACAACATCAGCTTAAATAGTCTGAACCTTCACAAAATGTGGATAGATTTAATCTGCAACCCAAACATTTCCCTGAGTACAAGAGACTTGGTTAGGTATGTTTCTATTAAAACATGTTTTTTCTTACCCGAACTTTGTATCATTATTTATCATTTATCATATTTTTTGTCCATAAATCAATAGTAACCTCACTTGTTTGGGCGTTCTTGGTGTTTGAGGATCAATGTTAGTAGAGTAGGTATATCTGTATAATGTAAGACTTTGGTATTTGCGCAAATCTTTGAGCCATAATTATTTGCACATTTGCCAGAACAGATTGCTTTCCCTATCCTTCCCTTTTAGAAAACATTTGTGAGGTCTATCAGATATTTTGCTAACTACTAGAGAGAACTTTCAGATGTCTGAGTTTTGGAAATGGTCAATAAGGAAGTCCCATCAACTCAAGGCCTGCTCATTTGTTTAACAAATCGATCGTTGTTTTCATTTTCGATTCAGGATTTGTGCAGTCCCTATAATAATGCCATGAAATTTAGTCTTTGAGATTGAAATGATGGAGTGCTATATTTTGTGGCAGATTTTGCTGAATAATTTCACCAGGAAAATGCCGATCAGGTGATTAGTTTCTTGCTACTCTACATCCTGAATAGCTAAATTGAGATGATTGATTATTGTACAACTAGGCAGCTTTATATGTTGGCTCAAAGCTTCTTAGAACCAAAATAAACTAATGAAAACCCGTTCCAAGAACCCCCTTGCGACTGACACCTCAACAACGAGAAAGTCGGAAAAAAGGGCAGTAGGAAACTCTTGGTGTTAACTGTAGACTTCCTCCTATATTGCTTTGGGGTGGTGGGGGGAGGATTTAGTGTAGTCCTGTAGGAAGCAGAATGTAACCTGCCAATATGTAGGTGTAAAGCAGTAGTTCCTAACACAACTTCTCTGTGTACAATTTATTTTTATTATATTGTTCTAATGAAGATGAAAGTGTAGATGAAATTGTTCCAACTTGAAGAGACATATTTTGGTTATGTTATGGAAAAAATGTGCTTCTATAACTGAACAAACTTTGGATGTGGATTGGTGAGGGCGGCCTGTTTGATAACGTTCCTGTTTTTTATTTCTCGTTTCCAATTTTATTAAGAAATCTAAGTATTTGACAACTATTTATATTTCTTATTTTTTATTTTTTAGAAACTGTTTTTAAACTTGTATAGAAATCCTGCAAACAACAAAAACAAATTTATCCTTTCTGGTTCTTGTTTCTAATTTGTTCTAAAACATAAATAAATATATTGTTTTATCATGCTTTAATGTATGAGTGTTGAGGTCATGCATTTCTTCTTTTCTTTATTAAAAAGAGGAAACAAAAACAAGAAATGAAAATACTGTCAAATGGATTCTAAATTGATAAGTATTTAGTATGCAGCTGAAATTGGATTTGTGTTTAATCTTGTTCTTGGTCCGTGGGATCATTGCCTTTTCTTTTTCCTCATGATAAAGGCCATTGCCTCAAGAAAAATGTTTGCCCTAAAGAAAAAGGGAAAATAACCACAAATTATATGAAGACATTGCAAATGAACAGTAGAAACTGAAAAAAAAAAAGAATTTGCAATATTCCCAGCTGAAGATGTATTCAGTTTAATCAGAAGAAAGTTATTTGTGCCATCAAAATTTTAATGATAAAAATGAACCATGATGAATAAAACTTGACAAGCTCATTTTAGTTTTAAACGTCGATGTTTTAAAATTCTTGTTATTAGTGATGTTTCGTTGATGTTTTCTAATACATTGTATGCTACAATGGAAATATCGAATCACCCCTCGTATTGATGTCAAATATATAGGCATATGAATGTCGATGAAAATTTAATACACCGATATACAATATATGGAGGTGGGATTCGAACTCATGAGATAAGTATCTTAACCATTTGAGTTATACTTGGTTTGGCTTAAATAGAGTTATTTCAAAGTATATTTTATCCTATAAAATTGGACATTGTCGTGCTTGATTTTGAAGGGCATAAAAGCTCGTTTACATGTTTGTGGATCACTCCAGATAAGGTAGAGAACTTTTCAATCTAAATGTTGGAATAGACAAAAAATTTCATATTATTTTGGCTTCATTTATATTCATTTTGATTTTCTATATTAAGACTTTGTAATGATATTTGTATTTATATATCAAAATATAATATGAAAGATATTTGAAAGTTGAATTCCATTGCCAAATTTTAGTTATGCCTTGTCTAAAAACCAAAATTATTGTTTCTTTTAACTTTGAAAGTTGTTTTATTATGGTTCTTTGAGCTTTAAAAAATAATCGTTCAACCACTTTCAAAAAGTTAGTTCTCGCTATATTATTTTTTTTTCGCATAATATCTTCTAATAAAATACTCACCTTCAACGTATGTGGTTTGGTTACGTACTCACATTAACGCGCTAATACACCTATTTGAATTTAGGTTATCAATTTTAAAATCAAAATAGAACAAACTTGAAAGTCCAAATATCACAATAAAATAAGACCGTTGAATGTTTAGGAACTTAAATAGGATGTAAACCTTAGTCATATGGCATCGAATTGATCACTCTCATATTCTTCAAATTCATTGACAACCAACTCGATTCGATCGAAATCGATATTTTTTATTTTCGATATCGCCATTGACATCAACTTTGAGCTCACAGCCTTAGCATTGAGATGGGATTTGAAAGAAAAAATGGAGGAATTTGAGAAGCTGACAGAAGAAGAGAGAGCACACTCCCAATAAAGGCAAAGCAGATCTCTTAAGCCAATGCTTGGGTTGTGCTCTCTCTCTTCTGTCAACAATGACACACTTTCCAATTTTCCTTCACCCTCTTCAAATTTCACCATTCTTTAAGCTGCAATTTGCCATTCAAAATAAATATGCATATAAATTACAATGTCTTTAAAAATAAGGCTAAAATTATTCATTCATGCATATTACGTCATTTCGATACTAAGGTGTTTATCGGTCAGTACTCATTTTTATGTTTACCACTAATAAAATTTTGAGACGAAATTTTTTCTTTCTTTTTTTAATTTTTTACATTTTTCTCTTCGACTTGTTGAAATTTTAGTTTAACAAGAGAGGGATGTATAAACAGAAGATTCGACTTTGCTTCATACTAGTTATGATATATATATCATATTATATATCCTGATTTGCCCTTTGGATGTTGTGCCTTGATCTCGAATTGTAACGTCCTCCGTTTTGTTTAATATATTTACCTTTGCTATTAATTCACTATACATATTGAAGAAATAGTATTTGGATATGACAATCTTTTGTTTTGAGCGTATGATCCAAAGCAATAATGATTTTAATCTTTTTTCAAAACCAATAAAAGAAAAATGGTTTTCAAAAGTTCATTTTTTTCCATGAGGTATTCATGGAGATGGGCAAGTTCATGCAAGGAGATATCTATCAAAAAAAAAAAAAAGAAAAGAAAAAAAACAAAACAATACCTTCAAATAGGTTTCCCATGGCAGCATAATAATCTCAAAATGAGAGAGAGAGAGAGAGAGAGAGGTTTGTGGTGAAGATAACAACTAAGACACTTGTTTGTAATTTATAGAAGAGAGGGACAAGTCAATGGCCAATGGTTGAATTGTTTACATGAAATATCAACCAAATTTTTTTTAATAGCTACTTCTAAGCAGGGCCGTCTGTTTTTCAGAATTTTAAATATATGACGTGTTTGAAATTAGATGCTTAGAAATTTAGAAGTCTGATATATTAGGTATGTTTGGTAGAAAAATTTATAATGATGTGCGAAAATATTTGAATGATTGTGTTTGTTTTATAGGATTTATATTTAGAAAGGTAAGAATTATATATTGTTCCAAAAAGACCCTCACGAAGATTCATTGATATATTTACTTTTATGTGTGTTTCTTCCTTTATTATTTTATTCCTTGATTAATTTAGTTTACGTTGATTTATTTTAATTATAAAAAAATAATAATAAAAGAACAAAGAAACGCAAAAATATAATGAAAAAATGTTCAAATCTATACTCATGTTTCAAGATGTCATAAAAAACTCTTTAGTTGATTCTTGTATGGATATCTAGATATCTTAAAATATCCGAATATTTTACATTATTATAAAATAAACGTAGGAATTTAGACGTCTGTCTGATGAAATCCAGAATAATGACACAATTAAATCAAGTGGTGAATTAAAAAAACAATTCAACCAATGAAGCAGTGGTTTCGTGTGTAAATTTCTAAACCAAATGATGAAACAACCAAGAACTTGCATATATATATATATATATATATATATATATTTTTCGAATCTATATTTAATGTTGACATTTTTAAAATTTTGATAATAAGATTTTATGAAAATGCCAATAGATCATTTATGAGTTAAACATTATTATTGGTATTGACAAAAACTCGAGATTGAAATAGTTAATGTTAAATTATAAATTTAGTCTATAAATTTTGAACCTTGAATATATTTATAGCGGTGAACGTGAGCCTAACTCAACCGTTAAGATGCTTATTCTTCCTTTTAAGGTGATAAGATTGACTTTTGAAAAAAGTGTTACTTTGAATTACTAAAAAAAAATCTGTAGGTGTTTTGGTAATAAATAAAGTTTATTTTTGAAAAATTAGATTGGTTTAAAATTTTTGATATTATATATATAAGAAATGATTTTTGTTAATACAATTACATGTACCATGGATATGTATTTGCATAATTGGGGGTAAGGTATTAAATATCCGTCAACATGTAAACAATTTCATGTATGTCTAGATTCAACGTCTAACAGGGAGGGTAAATCGATATTTCTATAATATTGTGAAAAAAAACAACAAAATATTAAAAATATCAATAAAATATTAATCATTTTAAATTTGTTCAGAAAGAATGAGTTGTTTATTTGACAATTTAAATATTTTAAAAAACATCCATTTTATCAATATATTTATCGATATTTCCATGAAATTAAGATCCGAAAATGATATATTATGAATTTGTTTATTGATGAGTTGGAATTTTTGTAAAATGAATAGATTCCACAAACCTTTCACTTTCACCATTAACAGGGGAAGATGGTGACCGGCTACTGCAGGTCGAGGTGGGCCCACAAACCGTCTTATTCCCCAAAATTTCGACCTGAGACAGGCGATTCCAGTCGCGCGTGATGCCACTTTCAGGTCATCAAAATGGAAGCCCACCTCTGAATTCTGAGAATATCTTGGCCGTTGATTTCCAACCTGCAGATCTTCATCACATCACCCTTCCCCCTACTCGTACACTTCTAATTAACTTTATATTTTGAAAAAATTGCAAAAACCAACCCTAAATTGCCACAAGCGGTTTGGTTGGGAGTTTAGGTATGGGCCCGACCCGAGCTTTCTTTCCTCCAATTTTCATGGATTTGTTCGGATTTTGTGTCACTCCTTTTTTTAAAAAATTATTTGTTTAAATGCAATTATTTACTTTATTGTATTAGAATTAATTAAAAAAACAACATTAAAATTTTACCAATAATGTACTAAATTAATTATTCATTGTAACAAGTTAATTATTTTCCTTCATAAAAAATATAATAAATTGGTACAATTAATAAGATAAAAAATGATTAATTTTGTTTAACACATCAAATGATAATTATTAAAATTGATTGTTATATTTAGATATATTTATTAATAAGTGAAACTTAAATTAAAACATCATTGAAAAAAATAAATTTTAACTTAATAAAGATAAATTATTTAATGTTAATTAATTATTGGAAGTTAATTTTTATTAATTTTAAAGCCTTGTACAGAGAAATCATTTTGCTAAGCAGGTAAAATATTGAATTTTAGTTAAGTAAAATTTACTATTAATTGTTAAATTGATCATTGTACTATATAATGCTAATATAAAATAATTTATAACTTAAAATAATTTAATTTATATTATTTATTTTTTGAATTAAATTTAATTTGTTATCGCATAAAATACATTTTTCTAGAGTAATTAGACAAAATAAACATATATATAATTTATTTTCAAACATCTTAATTTCAGATATCTTAATCCTAGACATACCGCCAAAGACATATTTGATTCCTAAGCACGTGATTATATCCCATGTTACTTTTTTAAACCTTGAACCAAACAGTCGAGTTGTTACCATCACGCCATCAAATTTTCAATTTTATTGACTAACGTCTCTAAATTTATAAAATTGTTGCAATTACTCTTAAATATTGTAAAATGAACAAACCACCCCTATAGACCATAGAGTAAAAAAGAGGTAAAATATTTTTCAACATATCTGGCGTATTTACCCGATCATGATTCTTTTTTAGTTCTATTTTTGGAAATGAATTATGACTGTTTTCGTACTCCTTTTATCCTAAAATGTATAAAAAGAAAAACAAAGATCACTATAGTATTTGCAAACCCTTATATTACCTCAAATTAATTTATTTTGGCACAACTTCTAGAATAGAAAGTCGATGCTTTTTAATTTACTAAAAATACATTTCAAATGATATTTGGTTGGACGAAAATAATATTTGAATACCAATTTATATTTTAGGCATCGGTTTAATTATTTCCAACCTTTTATATATATATATATTTTTTTTTCTCTTCAAAACTCGTGAGATTTTGACTAGTTATTCAATGATCAAAGTTTGATTTTATTAAAACTAATGAATTTTTGAAAATTTTACACTGCTTTTTCTTATATATATATTTTTTAGCATGCAATGAAAATTTGAATTCACGACTTTCGTTAATGGAAGATGGTTATCGTAACCAGTTGAACTATGTTGAAATTAACTTACATTTTTTATATTAATAGGTGAATTAACTGGATTAATAGTAAAAATTTGAAAATTTGATGAATAAGATTTTAAATGTCGATGTTAATGGAAATATCGATGAATGTTAATGTCAATTGATATTTCTAAAAAAATTATAAAAATAGAAAATTTGAAAAAAATATCTAAATTAATAAATAATCGTTTCACCCTTTGACATCAGGAATTTAAATAATCGTTTCACCCTTTGAAATTAATAAATAATCGTTTCACACTGGCGCCAGCGCGTAAATTTTTTTTAAATATTTAAATTAATAATAAACACTAAGTTTTAAATTAACCAAATTTAAGAATAAATATTTAAAAAAAATTACGCGCTGGCGCCAGTAATAAAAGTGAAAGAACAGAGAGAGAGGAGAGGCACGTGACCTGCACGTGCCTAAGACGCTGAGCAACTGTTCCAGTGCCACCATCATCGATCAACCCCAAACTTCTTCCCCACGATCTTCAATTCAAACCGCCATGAAAAAGCCATTCAAAAAATTCTCTCTTATATACTCTCAGATTTAGTTTCAACGATTCTTCAGATACCGATAACAAAACCTTACGTTTTGATCATCAATGGCTTCCGTTTCAGTCCGTGAACTACTTCCGCTCTTCTCTCTGCTCTCAATCGCCCTCGTCGCTCCGTCGCTCGTATCTTCGCATCAGTTTCAGGTCGGCGGAGACAGAGGCTGGACGAACACGAACCCTACCGGAAACTACACGCAGAGCTACAACTCTTGGGCCGCACAGAACCGCTTCCATGTCGGAGACACTCTCTGTAACGCTTCCTTCATCCATGGAAGAAAACACTTAATTACTTGATCGGAAGTTCTCTGTAGTCTGAATTTTTTTGTTCGGTTTTCGCAGATTTCAAGTACCGAAACGACTCGGTTCTGGTGGTGAACTACGCCGACTACAGAGACTGCGCCGTCGCGGATCCGATCGCGAGGTTCGATAACGGAAGCGGCGCGGTTTTCAGATTGGATCGGGGCGGAGATTTCTATTTCATTAGCGGAGAGAGGGAGAATTGTGTGGCTGGGCAGAAATTGGTGGTGCGAGTGATGAACGATCGTGAATCGGAGGAAGATGGAAGTACTGCGCCGTCGCCGGAGGAGTCGTGGAATTGGGGGCCTCCGTCGCTGAATTCGACGGTGACGACGACGATGGCGTCGTATTTCGCGACGGCGATTGGAGGTTTCTTGATTGTTCTGTATCTGCTCACGTAGGGATTTGGAATCGATCGTCGATTGGGTTGTCGCTGTTCTTCCTTGCTTCTTCGTTGCAATAGAATTTCCACTTTTTACATTTCATTTAAATTCTTTGATATGGTTTGGAATGTGAAATTTTTTAAACCAAATGCAGTTAAATATTTCTATGTTGTGAGAAATTAAATACGTCACATCGAAAATGAGAAAAATTTCTAATGTCAAGTGTGTAGGCAAGTATTTTTTGTTTTACTTCAATTAACTTCGGAAAATCCTATGAGTTGAGAATATTTCACAAACAAAATTCAAGAAATAAAAACTGCAAGATTAAATAAAATAAAAAAACACTTCTATTTTTGTTCCTCATTTTCTGAGGCAAGCCGTGTTGGACCTTCGTCTGCCACCACCATCAGTGTCTGATCTTGGACCAACTCGAAAATTGGAAAATCAAGATCCACTCTGCTAATAAACCTTCTGTGTTTATGTTTCCCCCAACTCGAACATGACTGATCATCGATTGTCTCAATGCAATTCATTACTATAATTGGTGAAGAGCTTGAGAATTATGGGTGATCAGTTTCAAAATCGATGTAGAACGATGATATCGTGGGAAGGGGACGTTCTCAATTTATAGCATTGCTAATCGTTTGTCCATTTAGGAATAAGAAACTTGTTTAAAGTTTACAATTGTAATATTATTTCGAATTTTGAAACTTGAAAATTGCTTTTTATCTTATCTATAAGCTTTAATGTATCATTTTTTTTTATCTTTACAATAAATATATCTTTGCCATTTAGAACATTTTTTAGGAAAATGGGCAAGACAAATTATAATTTTTAGGAAAATTAAGAAAAGTTAAAGAAGAGAATGATCAGGGCGGGGAAGCGAACCGTAATTTCTGTCACCGTTTTCGAAATTAAAAGACAAAAAATTTTCTCCTTCCCCATTAGTACAAGTAGTGGAAGGTTGTTTAGATAGATGCTCTAAGCTTATGAGATTAGGTAAACTATTTAGGTATAAATAAAATAAATTTAATAATTACATGTGCATTTTGCAGGATTGAATGTATGTTGCACCCAGAGGGAGCTCGAACCTCTCTCAACTTTGGTCTGTATGAAATTAATATATAAACCGTATTTAAAATATAATAAAATTAGTTGATGGTAGATTATTATTTAGTTTTGTTGTTTAAGGCCCTTAAATCATTCTTCTCAAATGAGAAAATTTGATTTGCAATCAAATTTCACTGTTTTCTTCTATATTCACATAAAATTTGGTTCTATATCATTTGAACAAATTTATTCATATAAATTATAAATTTGATTCATAAAATAAACTTTTAAACTTAAACAAAATATCTCATAGCTTTCCCAACATTCAATTCTGCATCTAACATATCCTTAAATTTTCAACTTTATGTTTTGATAAATCCTTGACTTATTAGACATGACACATTGATAAAAGAATGGATCTTACATAAGTTTATAATAAACATGAGCTACTCCTCTCATCGTCAATTGATTTTGAGACGGAATCCCATGAATATTGATATGGTATCAGAGCCGGAGGATACTGGAAACCCATGAATATTGATAAGACGTTTCTTAAATTCAATAATTTATTAGTTCAAACTACTTTTTCTTGTTTTTAGAAGAGGTTCTCTTTATGAGTTCAACAACTTATTAGTCCAAGAATTTATTGGTATATAATTTGTTTTTAAAGTTCCGAGACTTATTGAAACACAATATTGAAATTTTAAAGAAAAAACTTAGAACTTAACCAATTTAATATCAAAATATAGAAACTAAATATATATCAATGCATTCAAATTATTTTTATACAATCCACTAACATAAAGTTTTGGATCTATCATTTATAATTGTAATATTTGAGACAACAATCATGATGTGATCTAGTAGTTAATAAGTGACAATGTAAATAATAAAGTGCTCAGAAGAAATGGGTTCAAACCTTGATGCAGGATCAAACGGTTGTCCTATAAGATTATCAAAGCGCTGACCGGGATACCTGGAAAAAAAAATTGTAATATTATCTTGGCATGAAAAGAAAAAGGAAATTAAAAATAAATGATTGGAAAGCGAAGTTCTCGGTGTCAAGAACAGAAAAAGCAACCGAAGAAGTGAAGACATTCTCATTTCTCCAGAGAAATTGGGGGCGTGGCAAACTCTATTTAATCTCATTCTCTCACAAATGCTTCCGTGTAAATTTCCCAATTCCTTTTCACTCTACATCGATTCAATTTCGTAGCAAACAGGTTCCGATAATGGAGAAGAGCATTTACACAATCCTCACTGTTGGTCGCTGGGAGTCACTGAACCACATGGACTATAAGCTGGCTTCTCTCAGACCAATTCATGGAGTTCTAGCCTTGAAATTCCTCAAGTGGGTCATCAAGCAGCCTGGTTTGGAACCCAATCACCGCACTCATATACTAGGTATTACCACTCATATACTTGTTCGAGCTAGGTTGTACGACTATGCTAAATCAATTCTGAAACATCTAACACAGAAAAATCATGGGTCGAACTTTCTTTTTGGTGTTCTTATGGATACATACCCTCTTTGCAGTTCAAACCCAGCAGTTTTTGACCTTTTAATTAGAGTTTATTTGCGGCAGGGAATGATTGGGGAGGCTGTAAGTACTTTTTCTTCCATGCTCATTCGTGGGTTTAAGCCATCTGTTTATACTTGTAACATGATCATGGCTTCCATGGTGAAGGACTGTAGAGCTCACTTGGTTTGGTCTTTTTTTAAGGAAATGCGTACCAGTGGAGTTTGTCCAAATGTTTCTAGTTTTAATATACTTATGAATGTTCTATGTGCGCAAGGGAAGCTTAAGAAAGCTGTTAATGTCTTGGGAATGATGGAGAAGAATGGTTATGTTCCTACCGTAGTTAGTTATAATACCTTGCTTAGTTGGTGCTGTAAGATGCGTAGATTTAAATCTGCACTTAAGCTGATTCATCATATGGGATGCAAGGGAATTCAAGCAGATGTTTGTACTTACAACATGCTTATTGATAGTTTGTGCAGAAACAACAGAAGTGCACAAGGCTATTTAGTTTTGAAGAAAATGAGGAATAAGATGATAACTCCAAATGAAGTCTCTTACAATACTTTGATTAATGGCTTTGTAAAGGAGGGAAAGATTGGGGTTGCTACTCGGGTTTTCAATGAGATGACAGAGCTCAATCTTTCACCAAACCTCATAACTTACAATATTTTAATTAATGGACACTGCATCATTGACAATTTTAAAGAAGCTTTGAGGCTCTTGGATGTGATGGAAGCAAATGATGTGAGGCCTGATGAAGTTACTATGGGAGCTTTTTTAAATGGACTGTACAAGCGAGCTAAGTTTGACGTAGCCAGAAATATTTTTGAGAGATTCAGAATCAATAAAACATCTCTTAATTATATTACATACACAGTGATGATTGATGGGTTATGCCGAAATGGGTTTCTTGACGAAGCCTTTCAATTACTAAGTAAGATGTGTAAGGATCGTGGTAATCCTGATATTATAACATTTTCAGTGCTTATAAATGGATTCTGCAAAGCTAGGAACATTAAGAAGGCAAAGGAGATTATGTCTAAAATGTATAGAGCAGGGCTTGTCCCAAACAATGTTATTTTCTCTACATTAATATATAACTCTTGCAAGGCTGGAAATGTTTCTGAAGCAATGAAGTTTTATTCTGCTATGAATTTGAGTGGACAAAGTGCTGACAATTTCTCATGTAATTCATTGGTTGCTTCTCTTTGTGAAAATGGAAAACTAGTTGAAGCAGAGGAATTTTTGCATCACATGAGTAGGATTGGTCTTGTTCCTAATTCTGTTACATTTGATTGTCTCATAAATGGATATGCAAATGTAGGAGATGGATTAAAGGCGTTTTCAATGTTTGATGAAATGCTTAGTTCAGGTCATCACCCTAGTCCTTTCACCTATGGCAGTCTATTGAAAGCACTATGCAGGGGAGGGAATTTTCGGGAAGCAAAACAACTAATGAAGAAACTCCATTACATTCCGTTGGCTGTAGATACTATATCATACAACACATTAATTGTTGGGATAAGTAAGTCAGGAAATTTGCTCGAAGCAATTCTCCTATTAGATGAGATGGTTCAGAATAATGTTCTACCGGATAGTTATACATACACTAGTCTTCTGGCTGGTTTGATTAGGGAAGGAAAATTGGTTGGTGCCATCATGTTCTTGGGAAGACTCATGCAAAAAGGGGTTCTAACATTGGATTCAATTGTGTACACCTGTTTGATTGATGGCCTTTTCAAGGCTGGTCATTCAAAGGCTGCACTATATCTTTTTAAGGAAATGGAGGGGAAAGGCCTCTTATTAGATTCAATTGCGCTTAATTCAATTATAGATGGATATTCAAGGAAGGGAAAAATGTTTAATGCAAATTTTCTCGTTTCAACTATGAGAAACAAAAATGTAAACCCTAACTTGGCTACATTTAATATATTATTACGCGGGTATGCTAGAGGACAGAATATAATGACTTGCTTTATGTTATATAAACAAATGAGGAGAAGTGGCTTTTTACCTAACAGATTAACTTACCATTATCTTATTCTTGGACTTTGCAACCATGGTATGTTGGAACTTGGAATTAAGATGTTGAAAATGTTAATTGCAGAAGGTTCTACCATTGATGACTTGACATTTAATATGCTCATTAGGAAGTGTTGTGAAATGAATGAGCTGGATAAATTCATTGATTTAATTAATAACATGAAAGTCTTCAGAGTTTCTCTTGATGAGGGCACGCAAAAGGCCATTATTGATGGACTTATTAGAAGGATGATTTCCCAAGATTCTTATGTTATTATTCTTGAAATGTTGGAGAAGGGTTTTGTCCTTACGCTTAGACAATATTGCACTATTATGAAAGGTATGTGTCGAGTGGGTAATATACAGGGGGTATTTGAGCTAAAAGATAAGATGGTGGCGCTTGGGGTTAGCTCGGATGATGTTGCAGAGTGTGCTATGGTTAGAGGGCTTGCACATTGTGGGAAAATTGATGAGGCAATGTGGATTCTCCAAAGCATGCTTAGGATGCACAAAATCCCAACTACTAGCACGTTTACAACTCTGATGCACGGCTTCTGCAAAAAAGGCAATTTTAAAGAGGCACAAAATTTGAAGAGCCTTATGGAGCATTGTAATGTGAAGCTCGATGTAATTGCTTACAATGTTCTCATTTCTGAGTATTGTGCTAATGGTGATGTTATAGCTGCACTTGATCTTTATGAAGAGATGAAACAGAAAGGTCTCTGGCCAAACATGACCACCTACAGAGTTCTAGTTGCTGCTATTAGTAGTATTGAACCGCATGTTTCTATTGGTGAAGTACTTCTCAAGGACTTGAATGAAAGAGGATTAGTGCCTGGGTATTTGGATGAGAAGTCCCAAAAATCATGCAGGAACTATGTAGTTGCCATGGAAAAACTGAATTCCTTGAGGTTCAATCAAGAAAATAAAGCAAAAAACAAGCAGGAATACCATTGATTTGATTGTGAACACAAGGGAAAATATGTTTCTTGATGGGAGGGACTAGTATATCTTGCCAAGTTGTTAATCTCAGGTTTGGCTTGCATTATGCTCTTTAATTTTTGAGATTTTTGTAACCTTTTTGTATTTTTTGCAAAAGAATTATCTTAATCCCTGTACTTGAATTTCTTTTCATTTTCTCCAGGCATATTGCGTTCATGAGCATTCTTGGTTAACATGGAATTTGTACAATCCTCCTGCTTTTAATGGGAATATGCATAAGAGGAAAGGGATTAATGATCCAAATATGACAGAGCATCAGCTGACATTAGCTGCCAAAGTCCCTTTCAATTTTACCCTCAATGTAATCATTCTTCTCATTCGATGTACTTTATGTTCCTTTAATATATTTTTTTTGAGGTTTGTGCTACAGTTTCTGCCTTCTACCCCAACCTTTTGCACTTTTTCTTTATTTTTATTCTTTTTTAGCAGATCATTCTCACCAATGAGCACAGAATTGTCAACAAAGAAGCACAGTGGTGTATTTCAACATTATGGGTACATGATTTTTCTCTTTATAAGATCATTTTTTTGTGCTTTTGTGCAAAATATCTTGCTTTTGTGTAACAATATTTTAAAGAAGCCTAACTGTTCTAGTTTGATGCAATTTAAAGCGTCTGAAGGATTGACTATTGAAGACAAACATAGTTCTCACCTTGTATACAAAATCAATAAAAATAAACTACAAAGTCACAATGCAAACACAAAACCAGTCATCACTAAAATAGGTTCTCAACATCTTTTCATCATCAGACTCAGCATCACATTTTTTTACTATCATTAGACTTATAGTCTTCCGTGTTTTCCATCAGTAGATTTATAACCTTCCCTATTTTTCTCTTTAGTATAGCACTTTCATGTTGCCCTACATCTATAGAAGAGGGAGAGGGTGTTTCTGGTAAGAAAGTTGAACAAAGGATAACCAAAAACTTCTTGAAATTTTCCTCTACTTAATCTAATCATAGTTCATTTTAAAAACATGTTGCAGCTCTCTATCTCCTTTATGTAAATCTTATTCCCCTAGTCTGATTTGCTCGAATTGGAATGTTTTTATGGCAGTATTTTAAGTTTTTAGTTTACTTTATGTTTCATTTCAATTTTCACTCTTTCGAGAGTTTGTATCCTTGAACATTTTTGTTTCTTTTCATTATCTTAATGAGAAGTTCGTATCTTGTTCAAGAAAAAAAAATGTTGCACCTAAGCGACAAGTGCACGCACAACAAGGCGAGGTGTCTAACTTAGCTTAATTATGAAGGGTATTTAAGCACACACTTTTGGAGTTGTTTAATACAATGATTTAGGTGTACTTAAGTTCGAATAATTAGAATTGAATTAGTAAGCACCTTCGTGTTATTCTCAAGTATATTGATCTATAATTAGTGAAATTCTGGTATATTAATAGACATATCACTTGCGTTCATTGAAAAGGTACCTATGGGAGGATGCAATGATAATCATTCTTGTTTTTGAGGTTGATACTGAGTAAATAATGGACCAATTTCTGGGTGGATGATTTAATTACCTGCTTTTGTTATTTATAATGTTTTGTTCTCTGCATACTTGTTTTTGAAGGGATGGACGTAGGTTGGGAAGTGAGATGATGATGGTTAGTCTGCTTGTGCTTTTTGCTAAAAGCTTAGCTTAAAAGTTTAACCAGCTTTGTGGCTGAGAATTTGATTGCTTTCTGGAATGATATTTTTGGAGAAACCCCTGCTGCAGTTGGTAAAATGGTATGAGAAACTTTTGCAGTTCGACTCTTGTTTCCTATTTGTATAAGGGAGCGCAAAGGAGATGGTTTGGGATAGAGAGGAGTGGTCTTCATGACAATTGGAATGATGCAGATGGATAATATTGGCCTTAAGCTAACTGCTGTGTGGATGATATGCTGTGCTGGTAAGTTGTCAAGTGTTAATTCTATTGAGTTGTTGATCTTGTGTTTCTCACAATGCTTGATAAAATTTTCAAGTTAATGAAGGAAGAAATGTTTTGAATTTGAAGCTTTTATGTGATTTTGGTAATGCTAGCCATGTTTGCTGGTAAAAACAAAATTATCCCATACCCTGTTAGTCGGTTTTATCGTGCCCCAGAAATGAGTAAGCTTTTTTAGTCCTTTTTTTTTTTTTTTCATCCAATGGATATCTGGTATGTGAGTTGCTGCTGGTTTGTTAGAGCTTGTTACAGGAAAAGTTATTTTTAACAAGGACCTGGAAATTGGATCAATTATTAGGGGATCTCCATCTCCTGCTGAAGATCCAAAGATGTAAGCCAATTTTAAGCGTGTTATGGACAAAATTTTTGTGTTGGGTCCAGATTCCAGAACCAGAAAAACGATGACAATATCACAAGCTAGTATTTTTTCATTTTTCCGAGATGAAAGCTTGATTTCTAAAAGAAACTTTGTATATCTTAGTTATTTTCTTTGAAAGTGGATTGTTAAATGAGTGTAGTGATTTGTTCTCTTGCAAGCATTTCCAATTCCATATAATTATTGCACGGTTTTCTGCCTTTTTTTTCGTTCTTTTTTTTTTATTACATATTTTTCTTAGAAAATGCAATGATTCAAATTTGTGAAAATATCAAGGATAACTTTCCAGTTTCTTTTGTGTTGGACTCCTGGATGACAAATATTTGTCGTATGCACAATCTTTTGAAGATAATGAAACCGTTAGACTAGCAGAGCTCCTTTATGTTTTCTGCATCTGTTTTTGAAGGGATGGACCTAGGTTAGGAAGTGAGATGATGATGGTAATTCTGCCTGAGCTTTTCATAGGGTGTAATGTAGGGTCCGTTTGGTAACGTTTCCGTTTTTTGTTTCTTGTTTTCAATTTTTTTTTTAAGGAATTTAAGCATTTCGCAACTAACTATGTTTCTTATTTCTTCTTTTTTAGAACATGTATAGAAATTTTGGAAACCACCAAAACAAGTTTATTCTTTCTTGTTCCTATTTTCCATTTGTTCCAAAACATAAATAAAAAGATTGTTTTGTTATACTTGAATTTAATAGATGTTGAGACCATGCAATTCATTTTTCTTTATTAAAAATAAAAAAACAGTAACAAGAAACGAGAACATTATCAAACGAGCCTGTAATGTTTACTAAAAGCTGGCCTTGTTAGCTCGAGGCATAGGATTTGATTTCTTTTTCTTCTCCTTCCTTTTTACATTTTCCATTTACTTTCTCTTATGTGATCTTGTTTCTTGGTGCATGACTAACAGGATCTGTCGAGGTCAATTGAGGCTATTGGGGTTGCAAAATGCCTTGCCATGAAGGAAGCAGCCCTGGAACTCGGAAAGAGCAAGAAAAGAAAATTTGAGAGCATTATGATGAACCGGAGGGGAAGAAGAAATTAAAAGGAGAGAAATGAAAGGAGGGTGACATGGGCCCTTAAGGAGCAAGAGCTTGGAGTCTCTTGGTCATACTGGTTTAGAGGTCTTAAGTCCGAACCTTCTGGTGAACTTAATATAAAAACCCTTGAGGTTTCCCAAGTTCGGGTACTCCTTGGTATAGAGGAGCAAAGATCTAACTTCTAATTATAAAAGAAAGAAATAAGGTGATATGGCAACGAAGAAGCGAGAGAATGAATGAAAAATAATGTATGCGTCTTGAAGAAGTTGGGAGACGTGGTGGGGAGTGATGATTCTGATAAAAGAGAACATGGAAGTGAAAACAGAGGACTCACAAAGTGAATATTGCCCAGAGGCAGAACAGGTATTTGCTTTGCTTTTCTGAGTGCATATTTCCTTAATTTACCCATGTGATTCATTTACACAACACGGTAGACACTTTACAAGTTCAGGGTCTTCCAAATTCTTAAGATATTGAATTCTATTCTAGCATCTGATCTTACTACTTAGAAAATTTGTAGGATATTAAATACTAGGTAGGAGGTTGCTGTAATTTGAACCAATTTTCTCTAAGCCTTTTGCTTAGTCTTTATTGTCTACTAGGCTAATCCATGATGATTGAAACTCTCACTATAATAATTTGGACACTAATTGTTAGTTGACCCTTTATAAACAATGTCAGTTTATTAGAATGATATCGGTTTTATAAATAGGTGCTTGACTTTCAGAAAATTGGATATCATTAGAAGGTAGAAATTAATGTCAGAATTGTCATTTTAGGATAATTTAATAAAAACGTTTTATCAGCAATGTAAAAATGCCCGTGGAAACAACAAACCAAGGCTCTTCCGAGTTCTAACTTGACCAACACTCTCCAGATTCCTTAGGCTTTTGATCTGCCATTCTCTCGATTATGGCCACAATTCGCATCAAGTTGTTGCAGCAGGCTCGGGTGGCTCCATCCGCTGTTGATCTGGTCTCTGATGAGTGATGACAACCGCTCTGTGGCAGCTGACTCATGGTCATCAGAGTGAGTATGGTAGCACCCTCGAGGACGACCACCGTAATGCCGATGCTGCTGTGGCTCCTTCCAGCGGCAATGCGCGTGCTGCATCTGATTATATGTCTAGCTCAGTTTCTTCTTTCGAATTATCTGAAAAAGTTGAAACTCGGTTCTTTTAAGACATTGGAAGTTTGAAGAAATCTCTGGATTAATTTTTCTCTGGGGTTTTATTTAAAGCATTCAACGACCTTGTTGTTCACGTTGATTTCTGGAATAAACTAATATGGGTTGGTTGGACTTGATGCTTCCTCAATTCTTTTCACGTATGTGGTACTTCCATGACATAACATTTTTTTAATAACTCAGAATCGATGTCGTATGGTTTCGCATCCCTACAATCGAGGGTGTCGATGATCATCCAATACTATAACTGACGTTGTAGGACTCGTCCCTGAAGAGGAATGTCCCGACTATGTGCTCGTAGGGTTCGAACTAGGGAGGGGACATCCCCATTCGGCCACAAGCCTACTGTGTCACCATCGCGTGTGGTTGTATTGTTCTACTTGTGATTTTTTTGCGTCTTTTATTTGATAATTATTTTGTTGTATTAGTAAAAATCAATCTAAGCTTGGTTTAACGGGTTAAAACACCTATCTTCGACTAAGAAGTCGTGAGTTCGAATCTCATCTCCATATGTTATTATATTTTGAAAAAACTTCATTCATTTGAAAACTCGCTCGCTTGGAATAGTAGATGAATAACTCGATCAATTCTCTACCTCTTCGTTCTTACTGTACCGTACAACATTATATCTTATTTAAAAAGTATAAAATACTCTTCTTTATTGATTTAAATGTATTTTATGGTTTTTCATTTTAGATTTTTTACTTTTAAAATGTTGGTTTTGGTTATTGTACTTTTAAAAAGTGACTATTTTGATACCTAATTTTTTTTAATCTCATTTTTTTCTATCATAACTTTAATACGATATTACACTAGATATATTTTTTCAAATATAACTATGACTTTATATTAAAAGGTTTTGGGTAGAATTTGTGTTAAAATTTTGTAAATAGAGACCAAAATAATTATTTTTTAATAGTACAAAGACCAAAACAAATATTCTTAAAAGTATCTGGACTATAATAAACCAAAGTTGGGAGTACATCATCCAAAATGAACATTTAAGGGAAAAATACATTTTTGATTCCTGAGATTTGAGTTTCAAAATAGACATTTTTTATCCCTAAAGTTTGAAAAATAGTTCTGACGTTGACTGTTAGTGGCTTTCCATCCATCTTTTCTTCCTCTCTCTTTCTTTTTCTCTTTCTCTCTCATCTCCAACCAACAACCGTCAACCATTTTTCGTTTTTAGGTCCAATACATACGTGAGGGTTAGGGTTATTGATAATTTTTTTTTGTTTCTCTAAAACAAGGAAAAAATTATTATATGAAACTTTTGGTACAGGAGAATTTAATTTTTTTAATAACATTTTTGGTGCCTCCGTTCGCCATCAATGGCAGGCGATAGGTAAAGATAAAAATGTTCGGTCGGAGATGAAAGAGAAAGAGAAAGAGAGAGGAGGAAAACAGGGATGAAAAGCCACTGACGATCAACTAACGGTCAAGGACCATTTAGAACTATTTTTCAAACTTTTAAGAACTAAATAGACACCTACATTAAACTTATATTCATTTTAAAATTTCATGGACTAAATAGACACCTTCCTCGTACTTGAGTGACAAAAGTGTACTTTTAGCTTTATATTTTTAACATAAGAAAAATAAAATAAAAATAAAAAGAAATAATGGCACATCAATCCATGAGAGAGAAACCAGTCAGGCGGTTTCACCCGGTGGCTGCACTCACTGGCGCTTCAATGGCCGCCGCTTCGGAGCCCCAAATTGCAGTCTTCATGGACACTGATTTCGGCACCCGCCTGGCCGTAGCCGTGCCGCCGGGCATCGCCGCCGGAGCTTTAAAGAGTGAGCCAAAATACAAATCAAACTTTTTTCACTACACTTCCTTTTTTCTTTTTCATCTCCGTTTAGAAATCGCTCGTTTGTTTATGGGTTCGTCTCTCTCTCTCTCTCTCTCGGGTAGATTGGTGAATCTGTTTGGGCATTTTGACTATTTGTTTTTCTGGGTTTTAGAAAATGCTGTTATGTTTCTGTTCATGCTTTGTTCAGATTCTGGGTTCCTCTCCATTTTTCTGCAGTTATGAGTTCTGATAAGAGTTGCGCTGGTCCTACATTTTGTCTGTTCATTATGATTGTTTGAAGAATCGTTGAAATAAGTTGAAAGAATTGAATGATTCACTTTCTCTTTTGCTCTGTGCTTGAAGATGTGATTTCTAAGTGTCTCTGTTTTTTTTTTTTGGCTCCTTATGTGTTGGGTTTTTCATTCTTGTATTTCTCTGGTGTTTTTATTCATGTTTTGCAACGTAAGTTGGCTTTTTCTTCAGGGAAAAAAATAAAAAGAAAATAATTCTAAGAGATGACTCATGATTTTAACAAAGGTAGGCGTATGAAGTTTGGAGTTGAGAAGATTGGGTTTGTGTTGTAAATCTATATTTAGATTGTAAGAAGTAATGAGTTATGGAAACCAGGGTTTGTATAATACGTGCTTGGTTTGTGAGTTTATGATTTGTTAAAGTTAGTATGTAGCATTCTGAGATAAGTTATGGTCCTCTGGCATGCTTGTTTCTTTGCTATTTTGTGATTATTTAGCTCGAGAGGAATGTCAGCTTTTTGAGACGTTGAGAGATGTTGGGAAGAGGTGCGGGATATTATTAGGTTTAATACCTCTTTGTGGGCTTTGATATCAAACCGTTTTGTAATTATCAGATAGGTTTTATTCTTTTGCATTGGAGTCTATTTATGCCTAGGTAGTTCTGGGACTACTTTTTGTGGGGCGGTTTTATGTGTGAACTTGTACTTTTCTTTCATGTTTCCCAGGAAAGCTTGGTTTGTACTTTGAGTTAAAGTTTAACCTTCAAGTCAAACGCCCTCTAAATGATTTAGCGTCGTTTCTAAGTGCTTGGACTCTCACTTGATTTCTAGAGCTAAATGTTTTATGCCATGCCACCACCTTATATGCAAAGTTATGTGCATAATAATGTCTATAATGTTCTTATTTTTTGGCCTTGTAATTGCAACATTTTTCCAGGGGAAGTTGAGAGAGTACATTTTAACTGTTTCCCAAATATAGGAGAGATCAAGGTGGATGGATTCATGGTGTGTTTGTAGATTGTTTTCATTTCTCGTCATGTTTCAGCATCAGGTTTCAGATCTTGTTCTAACTGGAACCGTTTCCTTTCCATTAGGTGAAGCAAAACTCGAACTTCTACCATTTGACCGACACGGTGCTTATGAAACTCACTTCCCAGGTGGATGGAGTGCAGTTTCTCCATGTCAAAGCACAGCCTTTGTTTAACGAGCACCATTTACCCGAAAATGCTGATTGTTTCCCTAATCTAAACGACTCTACTCACTCTTTGGAGAGACAAAGCTGTCCAAGAGGCGTCTGCGAGAGTAAAATCAGAGCCGGTGGCAAGAAGCGTCGAAGAAAAAGATTCAGACCGATAAATTACTTATCAAGACTAGTCTGCAGAAGCATCTTACCTTGGAATACAAGGAGAAAAAGGAAGAGAACTAGCAAAAACCAGGTTTTCGAGTATGTGGGAAAGAACTCCAATATGAAGGATCTCATCAAAGATGCAGAAAATCGTGATGGCTCGATTTATATGTCGTCTTACCATTGTATGCCAAATGATGAAGCTGGGACAGCCAGTGAGTTATCATCTGAAGTCATGTCTGTTTCAAGTATCATAAATAGATACTTTCCGAGCCATGACGAAGTGAGCAGCATCCTGAATCGATCGAGCTGTGGCATTACTCGAAGTCAGCCAGAAGAGTATTTGAAGAAGAAGAAGAAGAATATTGATAGAGGCTCAAGCTTGTTGCCTTTGAAATTGCCACTTAAAGCAGGTTCTCAAAAGCCAGAGAGATGTAAGCTTGGGAAAAGGCTGGTGATGGCTTCATATAATCTTGGGATTTCTCCCAATAGGGAGAGACCTGAAATTTCACTCTGCAATTCCAAAGGTCAACAGTTTCAAGAACTCATGTCTTTGGCTAGAAGTTCTTGTTTTGAGATACTTGACAGTGATGACTGAAATCAAACTTCATTCCTTGGATTGGATGAAGCTTCTTTTGTGGGTGTAAAAAGACGAGTCGGGGCGGGTCGGGGTGGTTTGACTTTTAGCTGAAACATTTTCTTAGAACTGTACTAACCACTAAATTGACTGAGATCGAACCAAACTAATCGAAACCAACAAAATCTATTTATATAGAACTAAACTGACTATGATCCAATTGATTTTTGTTGGTTCCCTTTGTATGTATATATTTTTTTACTTCAAATTACACCCTTACAATGAGGTAAAAAAAGAATATTTTACTCGGTTTTGACTTAAATGGAGTTGTTAATTTTTGTAAACTCAATTAGATTTTTATTTGTTCTTCTATTTAGTTTTAGCTTGTTTTTATGTTCCTATGAATTTATATTTGTAAGGTTTTCACAATTATAATGTATTTATCCCCCTCTCCTTGAAAATAGCAAAAAATTAATAGTTAATTACAAATATAGTAGTCATGAAAGAACTTTGGCACGATGGTTCAAAAACGAAGCGAGTGATTCTTTGAGTCGGTTTGGATTTCCAATGCCTTGGGAAAGAGGTCTTTGAGTCAGTTTGGATTTCCAATGCCTTGGGAAAGAGGTCGATCTCGATGACAACACTTTTTTCTTCTCTTCCTTTCCGGGGAATCTTCTCTTATGGCCTTCACCTCCCACCCGACCCAGAAATCGAATCCAGCCTCCTTCTAATCCATTAAATATATCAATGATATATTTCTATTAATTATATTAATAATATACTATATTTAAAATAAAGTATATTATTGATATATTTAGTGTTACTGAGTATATCAACTATATCAAAGATATATTTTATATTTAATATATCAATTATATATAACGAATATTTTTAATATCAATTATATAATTAATATACTTGTTCGTAAAATGAGGTATAGTAAGAAATCTACAATATTATTTAAACCAAAATTTTCAACTTGAAAAAGATTTATCAGTCATATATCTACTATGAAGTATATCGTTCGTATATTTTGTGTGACTTATATACTTGAGTTACATTAGTTATAAATTTTATATTTGGTATATTAATTATATAACTGATATACTTAATATGAAGTATATAAGTAATGAGGAGAAAATTGGAATAACAATTTTTTTTCTTGAGTCAGAGTAAAGATAGCGCATAGCTTTGGTGATCATCACAAAGTTGTCCAACTGATCCCATTTTTTGAGAGACTGACTTTAGGAACCAACATAGCATCATTGAGATGAAGAACATTGCCTGAACGAAATGATAAAGAAAGAGATCGTACCAATGTCTGAAATAGAGAGTGGGGTGTGGTCACCGGTGAAGACGACACTTTTGCCTTGGTACGGCGAGGATGAGACAAATGTTGTCGGATTGCTCGTCATATGATGGGCAGCCCCAGTGTAAATGTAAAAAAACCATTGAGAATGGCGCTTGGAAGATGAATGCATAATACCAATTGTTTGATGCGAAGCAAAACTCTGAGTTGTAACGCTGTGGACATACGATAGCCATGTCTCCAGGGAGAATAAAAAGTATACATACCCAAGTCAATCATAGATGAGAACCCAAGAGACTCTCATAGGATTGCTTCTGCTGTTGATAAGAAGACCGGTGCTTTAGGTTATGAAACCAAGTTGTTTCTATATTTGCAAATATGGTAAATATTTTTGCTACCAATTAAAAGTAGTCAAAATAACTAACTATATCTTTTTCATAATTAAAACTCATAAATCAATTTGAAAAGATTAGTCCAGAAAATAATCTTATTTTAAAAGCTAATCTATGATTAAGTTTGCAAAGTGGTTAAAGAATAAAGGCAATGCTTAAAAGCATTCAAATGTAATTATCACAAATCTCATTGGTTGATTTTCTAACCACCAAAGCAAGCCCATCCAAACAATATTCTTCAATTTTTGTTTGTTTTTGGTAAGAAAATTATTAATTTCATTAATTTAATTGGAAGATGGATTCCCATATATAAATTAATTAATCTCTATAATAAAGCCAAGATTGCGGCTTCCATATTAAATATATATGCAAAGATTATGATAAATAATGTTGACTTCTCTTAAGTTGACTAAGACATTTATTAAAAAGCCTAAGCTTTAACAACATTATTTATAAAACCAACATTTTTTCCTCTATTGGTATTCTTTGATGCTTCTATATTTAATTTATGATATTATGAACCAAAATTTTTTCCTCATTCTTTCATTTTTAATTATCCTACCTTTTCTATTAAAATTTTTAAAAACATATTTCATGTTTTAACATCTTATTAATCGGTGACATTTTCATGTTTCGTTATCCTATATAATTTAAATCCTCACTATCCCACCTAATTTAAATATTCACTCTTTAGTACTAATTCAAAATTTTCCTATTTGTAAATTGAAAATTACATCATCTTTCAATTTCAAAATGATTAAAAATGGTCGTCTTCGATTGTGACAACAAGGTCACTCTTTCACTCAAATAGGAGACCTTTATTTTATCTTTTTATTTTTGTTTTGAAATTTTGTGGGTTTGTGTGGGATTTTATTTAATAGCAGATGAAAATTAGTAGTCTTATAATTGGATGGTAAAATTTTGAAGGATTTATAAACACAAAAAAAAAAAGAAAAAAAAAAAACAACCAGGTGACCTACCCCAACCCAAAAATATAAGGGCTAGGTTGGGTTGAGTTGCTGAATTAATTTGGTTCCATGAGGACATCGAACCAACCAACCTGAAAACTCAATTCAAACCTAACCTAACCTATGTACACCCTTAATTAACCTTCCGATTTGTTTTGCAATTGATATAACCTTATTGACCTCGACACTCCAATCTTCTATCTTGGATGAGCATACTAGTGTCGTATCGAAGAGAGCTGCGAATTATCAACGAGTCATCTCTTGACCAACAGTGTTGAAAGCAATTCAACATGGTAGATTTTATTATTTCCATAGTCCACCAAAGCAGCCCCTAGTAGCTCACTTTTGTGGATCTCCATTAATTCTCCACCATTTTTCCAAGCAAATTCAAGTCAAGGCGAGCAAATAAAGAAGTTTTGACCCCAATTTAAACTCCTTATTATGAGATTATAAGATGCCTAACTTGACCAAGAAAGAGTTGACTCTTCTTGACTTACATTAACTTTTATTTTCTCTAATACCAAATGCTATGAAACTCTGATCTAACATGTTCCTGAACATACAAACTTTCGCATATTATGATTGTTTGAAGTATCGGTGAAATAAGTTGAAAGAATTGAAGGTAGCATTCCAAAATAAGGTTACGGTCCTCATTCATGCTTGTTTCTTTGCTATTTTGTGGAGAATTCGACTTAGAAGAACGATAGAATTTTTTAGAGGGATTGAAAGACGTCGAGAGAAGGTATAGAGTATTGTTAAATTTAACAATATTGATATTGTGTAACTAACTATCTCAATCTCGAGTGGGGTCGTGACCTTCATGGTGAAGATCGGACATTGACATTTTAGGGATAGATTTTATGTTTGTACTTTACTTTTCTTCTAGTTTATATAAGTTAATGTTAATAACTCTAAATTATTGTTAGTAATTAAACAAAAAGGCTTATAACAAAATGATTATTAAACATCATCAACATTTCCTAATTATAAAGAGAAAATTGAAAGCAAAAAACACAATTGCTTAAACGTAATTAAGCATATATAATAAACAAACTTAACTATACATCTCTGGGTCTCACTTCAATTCCATATATGTACAAATCGTAATTAGGGAATAAATTTAACATCAACAATTCTTCTCTTTCTTTCTTGAAATGTTCCAAATGAAAGGTAAAAACATAACTCAAAAGTAGGCATGGATTTAATGAAAGGTTCGAGTTTCAACATGAAGTAGATTGCACGTCGTCCCAAAAGTCAATGTTATTGTAATGCATGTGATAAACCTTTTTCTGCGAAAATATGTAGGAGTTAGAGTGGGTTACTGAACAAGAAGTGCTGTAAAAATAGACCACAAAGGTGAAAAATAACAAGTAAATGGTGCAAAAACATAGTATTTATATAAATATTGAGATATTATATATGAATTAAATTAAAGAACTTGAATTGATGATGAGCTAAGGGTTTGGATTCCCAAGTTCCAAATCCAATAATGTTTAGCACATTAAAGAAAAGTTTCTTTGCTCCAATCATAAAAATAYTTTTCCAACGGGCTGTTTTGAATCGAAATYGAGTAGAAATAAAAATAAAATTGAGAAATAGTTAGATTAGGGTGTGTTTGGTTGGAATTTCGAAACGAACAAAGCTTTCAAGACCGACAATGGGGATCCACGGCCGTAGAAACCATGAGCTCCAAATGCACCGGAGGGAATTTCGCCCACAAAGCATCGCTATTAACGGCTGATCGGAAAGTCCGAGAAACGGCCGCCAAACGGCAGGCAATTCCTCCATATGAGCCTTCTGCCTATTCTTTTTGTTCTTCCTCTTCCACAGCTATATATAATTTTAATTTAATTGATTTGGGAACCTATGATACGTTTTGTTAAGATTATTTGTTTCTGTTTAGATTCCATATTTAGTTTATTTTGTATTTCCTATATTATTTTGTTAGTATAACAAATATGGGAGGGAGAATGGAACCTGAAAGGCTGAAAGGAAGGAGTGAGTTAAATATTTACTTAAATGAATATTAATTTAATAAGAAATAATAAATTTAAAATAACATACTAAATCTTTTAATTTTGAAAATTCAACCATTAACAGATATATTTGCCTAAACTAAAAATCAAATTATTAAAAAATTATAAACGAAAATCTCTGGATAGAAATTGAAAGAATATGGTTAATAAAATAACCATAAAATGTGGAAAAAATTAGTGGTACACGGGGAACTCGATTAAGCCGACTAAACCGATCAAACCAATCGAAACCAAAGTCGTTTTGTCTCAATTCAAGTCGATATGGTGGTTTGAACTTGAGAATATGTTAAATTGAACTAATGCGGTTCGACTTCGGATTTGGTTGTACGTCCGGCCAACTGCAGGCACCCGAATCGAAACGCCTATTTATTAATTTGTTATTATTATTATTATTATTATTATTATTATTATTATTATTATTAATTTAAGCGTTAGATACTCAATGAACTCACAATTTCGTACAGGCCACGAGGTTTCATCTTTAAATTTATGATATTCCGTTATTCCTTATTTCCGAAACTAAATATAATTACTAATTTAAATTTAGTATTACTATTAAATATAAAAAAATAAAATATTAATTAATTATTAGTTGGATTTACATTTAATTTAGGTTTAAGATTGTTCTGATTTCTACTAGTGGGGATTTAGATTTCATAGTTAGACTTTTTTCTTTTTCTTTTTGATCAACGATTTCATTGTTAGACTTGGTGTGTTGGATTTGTTATAATTTATTACTGATGGCTTTCTTTTTATTAATGAAATTTATTATTGATATTTGACCGAATAACTTTGATGCATCGTCTCGGTCTCGGTCTCGGTCTCGCTCTCCTTCTCTCTCTCACTTTCTTTCTTGCTTTCCATTTCTTGTGGAAGCGGTCGCATGAGGAGTAGATCTGCGGTGAGTTTCTTTCTCCGACGATAGTTCATGCGGTGCGACAAACAAGCAAGTTCTTTTCGATGACGTGACATCAGATCCAACAGCGACGGTGCGAGCATCCTTGCCACAAATGCAAATCGCAACACAGACACGATGAGAAAAAATGAAAAAAAATAGAGAGAAGTATAAAGGAGAGAAAATAGAGGGAAATAAAGTTAATAGATGTACAAATGGTGTATTGGCACTGTTGCTGGCATAAGCGAAAAGATAAAAACAAAAAATAACTAGTGACTACCACTTTTCATTTTCCTGCTGCCATCTCGCTGTCGACCACCGTCGTCCACAGCATCGTTGGAGAGAGGGAGGAGCTTTCCCTCTCCCCATGGGCAGCAACAGTGGCACGGCGGTAGGCGGCAACCGTGATGGACGATGATGGTGGACGACGGCCAACGATGATTGTAGATAGTATGATGATAGCAAGAAGATGAAAAGGTCAAAAAGAGAAGAAAAAAAATTAAAATGTCACTTCACACGACAAAATTATAGTTAAGTAAAAAAAATAGAAATGTCCATCACCTGCATCATTTTTTTCGTTAAGTCGAGAATACTTAGGCACCAAAAATGTTTATTTTGAATCTTAGTATCAAATTGGACATCTACTCCAAATTTCACCGTCCAAACTTCATGATCAAATTGACACTTACCAAGACCAAAAATATGTTTAGTAAACCACGACAAAATTGAAATAACAGCTTAAAAATACTCAAAATAGCTGCATATATCTTCTTTCATAATTAAAACTCATAAAGCAATTTGAAAAGATTAATCCTCAAAATAATCTTGTTTAAAAAGCTAATCTATGATTAAGTTTGCAAAGTGGTTAAAGAATAAAGGCAATGCCTAAAAGCATTGGAATGTCATTATCACAAATCTCATTGGTTGATTTTCTAACAACCAAAGCAAGCCCATCCAAACAATATTCTTCAATTCTTGTTTGTTTTTGGTAAGAAAATAGTTAATTTCATTAATTTAATTGGAAGATGGATTCCCATATATAAATTAATTAATCTCTATAATAAAGCCAAGATTGTGAGTTCCGTATTTTGAATGAAAAAAAAAAGTATGCAAAGAATATGACAACTAATGTTGACATCTCTTAAATTGACTAAGACATTTATTAAAAAGCCTAAGCTTTAACAACATTATTTATAAAACCAATCTTTTTTCCTCTATTGGTATTCTTTAATGCTTCTATATTAAATTTATGATATCATAAAACAAACATTTCCTAATTTTTTCCATATTTCATTATCCTACCTTTTCTATTATTTTTTTTATCATATATTTCATGTTTTAACGTCTTAATAATTTCTTATACTTTTCATTTTTCATTGTCCTATATTATTTAAATGATCACTATCCACATAAGTTAAATATTCTCTCTTAGAATAGTACTAATTCCAATTTTTACACTATGTGAATTGAAAATCACGTCATCTTTCAATTTTAGAATGAAATGAAAAATTATTTGTGAGTGTGAAAAGAACGATTTATTGTCATGATTGAAGAAACCTACTTGTTGGGATGGTAAATTCACCATTTTCTTTTTCAAAATTTATTTTGAATTATATTATTGATAATTAGAATAAAAAAATTTGTTAGTAAGGGAATTACAAAAATGACATTATAAAAGAATGGTATATTTCATTTCAAAATATCCATTTTTAATTTGAATTAAAGAAACAAAATATAGACTAGATAGTAGCATAATTTAAAGTTGGAATGATATTTTTCAGAGTTCCAAGATTAAATAAATATATTTTAAAAAAGATGAGACTAAACTGACATAATATTCATAATATAAAAATGTAGATTTAAATTTCATTCTTAATTTTGTTGAAGCAAAATAGCTCAGTAACTGACATATAAGAAATTGTAAGTTCGATCTCCATTCCTACCTGTTGTATTAAAAAAAAAATCTCATTCTAATTTTTGAAATTTCCAAGTTCATTCGATTAAAATTTTATAGGCAAACTTTTACATATAATAAAGCCACAAGTAATATCAAAATTATTATTTTTTTAGAATTTAAAACCAACTACATCGTTAAAATAGATATCTTAAAATTATGGGACTAAAATCTTTAATATATTTTAAAAAAAGATATTTATAATTATATAAATAAATACTTTTGTCATAATTTCTGCAAAAGATTTCCCGTATCCAGAAGCCCAATTTTGGCCCAATTTACAAAAGTCGCCTCTCTCTCTCTCTCTCTCTCTCTCTCATCCGTCTCTGCGATTTTCTTTCTCTGATTGATTTGAATTTCACTTTTTTTTTCCTCGGAAAAGTTCTCTCTAGAATTCATGACGGTAAGTCGTCGGTTGATTTCTGCTTCTCAAGGATGTTGTTATGATTTTTTTCTGCTTTGATTTTTGCTTGATGTGCTTCTCGATCGGTCTGAGCTTTACTTCCTGCTGAATTTTCGTTTCCTGATTGGATTCGCCACTTTGATTTGTTTATTCGTTTATTTTCGTTAACGATTGCTCAATTCTGGGTTTCCGCCATAATTTGAAGTTGATTGATTCTATACTAGTTATATTGGGGCAAAGCAAAAACTCTGTATTTTCTGCAAGATCTTAATCACTTGTTGGAGGTCGTTTCTGGACTTTGAATCAATAATTCTGTCAGTTACATTCACATATATACGTAGCTGGATTAAATGCTGTCGGAGGAGCTTTTAATTGGTCGATTTTTGTTCTGTTGGAATGATTAATATTGAATTTGAAGGGTATTCATAAAATCTGTAGCTGAAAAGCAATGTTGCATAGTAATAGATGATGGTTGTTAGATCTTGGATTCATATTCCGATGGGTGAGGTAAGCTACAGATTCACAGAGGGTGCATCTTGTTGTTCTCTCTTTTTTTAGGACAAAGGTCGGCCATTGCCAAAATTTGGAGAGTGGGATGTTAATGATCCGACATCAGCTGAGGGATTCACTGTGATCTTTAACAAAGCTAGAGATGAAAAAAAAACAGGTGGAAAACCCGATTCTCCTGGAAAAGTTGATGCACGGGGCAGGCCGGGAGCAGATCCTTCCAAGGCACCGCCTGTAAGATTTCATTCATAATCCTTTTTCTATTTTGCAGTTTGGTAGTTGATATTAAAGTAGTTGGCATCTAAAGGGTGCTTCTTTTGCATCTTTGGCTAATTGTTTGGTCTATTACTGGTAAATGAATTTCTGAAAGTGTTGATTCTGGTAGCGTGTACATGTATATCTGCGTTGAGGTTTGTTCAAACTCTTGGGAAATATCTTCATCTGGAGTTGAAACATGTTGGAAAAGTACCATGAATCTAGGACTAAAGAGAGATGAGATCACATCATTTAATGTAATAAAATTAGAATCTCTTTGACTTTATATGCCTTTTAAGGAATTGTGTTCATGAAGCATGAGTTCCCCGGTTTTATTCTTCTGAGAGGGCTCTGGTTCTTGTTGCATGAATGTAGGCCTTAGAATGAAATGATTCAATCTCTGTGCTGCATTTATCCCTTTTTAGTTGTTATTTGTATAACGTGAAAAATCTGCAGTCTTTACCTCTACATATTGTATTTACAAGTTTTCTTTGGTTTTTTTTTTCTTTTCCTTATGTGGATGATTATCTGGTTATCAGAAGAAATGGCTTTGCTGTATTCAGAGTCCCCCTGCTGAATCTTGAGAAGGTTCGTTTAGAGGCTTCAGTTGAAAAACATATTATTCTGTAATTGCGTCTACTGTGGCTTCTCAAATACAATGAACTTTCATGGAGCCTTGATGGTCCTGCTAAATTTTATGCAATTTCATGTAAATCTGAGTGGTGTTGTTGTGGAGGAAAAAAGTAAAGAAGACGAACATGTATTGTATTTATATTATTGATATGGTGGTTTTTTATTAGAGGATAAAGTTGCTATTCTGTCTTTGCCTCTGGTATGAGCTGTAAAGCTTTACACTGGACATCATGTATAATTGTGGCTGGTATAATTAATGTAATACGACTTTTGCTTTTCCTTTAAGATAGCTTTTTCTCATTGCACAAACTCTTTTCTTTACCAAGAGATGATTCCAACTTAGACCCATAAATGAAGGTATTATAAGCCTGACTAATTGAGCTCGGTTGAGGTTGACTCATAATACACCAACTTACCAATAGTAAGAACGAAACAAGTTGATCATATTCCAACCAAAAAGTTGCAAACTTTTATAGAACCAAGGCGTGAGAAAGTGACATTTATGTAACTACAAAAACCAAAGCTCCAAAACTCTGATCGAAAGATATATATATGAAACTCTCACAACTTAAAGCAGAAATGTAAAGGAAATACAAGTAACTAGAGCCAATATAAAGGATTTAATTGTGAGGGAGCTTGGCATCTTGCCCTTATCAGTTCTAAAGAAAAGTCCTTGGTACAGAGGCCAATTGATCAGAACCAGAATTCCACAAAGAAGAAGCTGAAAAGCCATTGTTTGAAAGGTCATCACCAAACCACTGCCACCCTCTACTGCTTTCTTCACCATCCCAAGAAAGCAGAGCAAGTTAACCAAAGAAATTGTTGCTATTATGGTAAACATTGGAGAGGAAGCTCCAAATTCCATTATCTCCTTTTCATATCTTTTGGAGACTTCTTGATCGGTCACTTTAGCTGTGATTACGAATGCTGAATCGGTAAATCCGAGCATCTTCAAGACGGTATCTATAAGAGCAAAGAGATAGGAACTTGTTCTCTTGTATAGCCAAATCCTCTGCTCATTCCACCATCCTAGGATTGTCCCTCCAGCCCACAAAAACTCCACCAAACTAGCAGCATACTTAGCAAATACCACATATATGAAGGGTATCAGCCATGGGCTAGAAACCTGAGTACCGAAAGTAGTCAGTGGCAAGTCGGTTGACAGTTTTCGTTAATATGAAGTTTTAAAAGAGGAAGGTAAGTTGTGTACCTGTGGAAACAGGGGGATACCTCTGAGGAGATAAAGTGAGGGAATGATGGAGTAATATAATGTTGCCAAGGAATTAACAGCCCAGAAACAATAGCTGCAGTACGCCATTCGTAGTCCTAGGCTAATCTTTCCACGAGCAGGACTGTACCTGGAAAGAAGAATCTGGAGGTCGCCTTCGGACCATCGCTTATGTTGAACTAGTGTCTGAAGTAATGTGGTTGGTGCAACACCTAGGAAAGCTCCCCTCTCTGGGTTGTAGTAAACCGATTTCCATCCCTGGCTTTGTATTGACAATCCAGTTATAACATCTTCTACAGGACATCCATATCTCAAACCCATCTGCAATTCAAAAGCCGACGATTGGGTTCAGAAATGTAAGAGAGGACGGTATAGAGGTAAAGAGAGAGACGAGAATAGAGACCGACCTCTTTTCCCCATTGAGTGTTCTCTTCATATGAACAGCTTGCTAGATGCTTTGATTTTTCTTCTAGTTCATTTACACTGTCTTCAAAACTCCTATGTTTGTCACTGTTCCAATCATTTCTGTATCCCTCGCTGAACTTTTTCCCACAGAGAACATCTCTTCTATGAAAGCAGCCTGTACCGATATATAGAGGGCCTCCGAAACCATCCAAACCGTGGAATTCCACCTTTAGGGAAAAAACCATATAAATTTCCTCCCAGTATGTAAATGACTAAACAACTGGAACAAAGTTATCTATTAAACTTTTTGAGCTCAAACTAACCTCACTAATGACTCGTAAAGTACTTGCATAGATCTCGTTCTTCGTTACATTGTCGAACTTTTGTGGAAACTGCACATATGCAATCTCATGGCCCTTCTCCTCATCCATAAAGAAGCAAAGTGCATCTCTTATAGCATCAGAGTTGTTTGAATACATATCACAGTCTACATTAAGTATGATTTTCCCGTTGCTGATCTGTGATGAGACCCTAAGCTGAAAATGGAACCAATCACAACTAGGTTAGATATTCATCATCCATGTAGATTGAATGATATCCATCTCCAGAAACTGAGTGTAAATGAGTGCACTAGCTTGATATTAGGTGCTATTGTCATATCTCGAGCGAGCTTGACTCCTGTGAAGGTGTGTGTAGATTAATGTATGTTTCCTCTGTCTCTGTAAACATTCAATTAGGTCATTACCAAGGCATTCATGGCTCCAGCTTTGAAGTTATGGAAATATTGAGGTCTCTTTTCGCGGGCCAAATACACCAAAGTTGGTAACGTAGACCCTTCAACATCTCTGGCTTCTGGATCTCTCCCATCTATTAATATCTGGGAACAAACAGAATCAAGTATTAGAAATACTTACATCTCTAGATTAAGGCAACATATTAGAGAAAATAGTATGGTGAAGTTTGTGAACAGAGTTCGAGAAAAACATGTACATAACAGAACGACATACTCGAAATACTTAAATGCACATAATCTGATTTGTTTAAGTTTTCATGAAGGGAAAGTGACAGGAATTACTTGAAGGAAGGTATCGTGGTCACGACGAGATGCATAGGATTCCCACTGGGAAAGTCCTTTACTACTTGACCGTATTTCTTCGGGGACCCGACCTAGATCAACTGCAGTTTTGATTCTACTCTCCATGTCTTTGTATAGTTTCTGCAAAAAAAGAAACCATCCAGGTAAAGGTAGCCATTGGTGGCAACTTGAAATCTAACATATAAAATTCTTAGTAGACGATTCATTTTGTAAAATACCTGAATGAGGACCACTTCTTTGCTCTGATGATCAGTCTGTGAGGCAAAGTAAGCTGCAGGTGACCTTGGCTGGATGTTGAACTTCTTGCAAAAGGGTATCCAATGCTTTGCAAATTGAGACGCCTCCATGAGAGCGTAGTAGGTGAGATCAGAACCTGCATCGTCGGAGAGGTACACGCTGAGCTTCTCGGTCGGGTAATCGTATGCCATTACCGATAATACTGTGCTGATGACCATGGCTGGTGGCTCCATCTCAGGGTCTGCAGTGCACACAAATATGTCCACTCCTGGCAATTCTCCCTCATGTCTGTTCCATCAACATTACCGCATTTCAAATTACATAGAAACCAAGTGAGAGAAACTAAGAGAGAGATCTTTTTTTTAGTTTTTCGTTGTTGGTTTCCTCATTATTTCTTTGGTATGTTTTTCCCATTTTTCAAAAGCACATTGAAATTCATAGCAAATTCTTTTTCTAAAAAAAATTTAAATTACTTTTTTTTTGTTTACCGTTTTCAAACTTTGGTTGTTTTTTAAAATGATATTAAAATGTAGATAACAAAACAAAGAAATATAAACGAAACTTTTAACTAGAGATCAAGCTGGTAACTCGGGGCCTAAATGAGAGCAACTAAGCCCAAGAGAAGAAGGGAGAGAGCACCTATTGTACAAGAATATCTCATTTCAAACATCACAAAGCCAAGTGAACAAATGTAAGAGAGTTGTGAGGCCCCCTGTTGTTAATAGGTATGTTAGGAGGGGTAAAGGGGTAAATTTCTCGTTCCTAGTTATCGGGAACCGTATCTTGTAAGTTAGGCAGGACATCTTTTATGTCGTGTGTTGAAGGAGAGCTCCCAACTCTCTCGAAAGGTTGAATATCAATTTTGTAAGGATATACCTTACAAATTTCAATTCAAACACAGTTCAACATATAAGATACCCATTTTCTTCTGAAAAGTCGATGGTTCGATCCCCATCTCACACGAGCGAGAAACCGAGCTCAACCACACCGATATCCCATTTCAAACATCATAGAAACTAAGTGATAGAAACCGAGAGGGAGAGACAGTTCCACAACAATATCCCATCTCAAACTTCAAAGAAACAGATACAGAGACAGAGAGAGAAACCTTTGGGAGAGATTTTGTTTGAAGGTTCGCCTGTGAATTGGATTCCAGCGACAAGCCTGAGTGAGAATCCAATAAAATCCAAACCATAACTCAGCACCAAACAGACCAATCCAGCCCCATCTTCCTTCTTCTTCATCTTCTGCCAAAAACTTGAGTCTAAAACCCCAAATCAAACAAATCCCCACCAAAATAGAGCCTGCAAACACTCTGTAAACAACTCTCCCTTTGCCTTCTCTACTCTCAAACAATGCCAAATACTTTTCACTGCCCATCTCTCTCTCTCTCTCTCTCTCTCTCTCTCACAATCAATGCCACACACACACACACACATATATATACTTGCAATCAACTTGTTCTACTTTGTTCTTGATATGTTCAGATCTAGTCTTTTTACTTTCGATAAGTTTTAAAATTACTCTCCACGGTTGGTTTATAGGTATCTTTGCTTTGGGAATTTTAAATAATATGGGACTAGTCACACATGTGATTATTTAATGAGTTTTTTTTTTTTGGTTTTTAATTAAACTAAGGGGAGTGATTTAATTATTTATAAGTTTGGTACGAGTAGGAAGCCATAGATGAATGTGTTGATACCGTAAGTTAATTTCTAATTTGACGAGGGGTCGAATTAGAATTAGTCAAACATTGTGTTGATGCTAAAATCTGCCGAGTGTCGTGGAGCGACCTCTTCTAAGTCCTAGCGAACTGGTGGGGGGAGACCTTCAAAAATAGGTAGAGCACTCCGACGTTCAAGTTAGTTTTAAGTGCGAACTGGACAACTTCAAATACATTTTCATTCCTGGTTAAATGGAATGAATGTATATTTATAGTGAGCAAATGGGGTAATTTCTTGTCCTATTAGTCCATTCCACTATTTTGAGGTTAGGTGACCTGCCGTACACTGTTGACTGTACTGATGGTTGGTCTCGTTGATCACAACAACGTAGCCTCGAGTCTTCGCCGGGGACCTAAGGCTCAGGTCCCAACCTTTGAGCTTGGTACGTGTCACCTCCTTATGAAGGAGTTCGGTCTGCGTGGCTGGAACTTTTAGTCTTCCAACACAATGTAATCAACCAGTGATTTTTTGTTCTGAGGGGGTGTTAAGGTCCCCAATGTTAGATAATCATCGCGAATGTTTTTCTCTCCATCTTTCTAAAGAGAGTACTAGATATCCAATAAATGAATTAAATTTACCCAACTCATTAGCTTAAGCTTTTGGTTGAGTGGTGATTTATTCATCATTGAGAGAGAGAAATGAGAAGATCCATAAAGAAAAAATCGCGATCTATCTAGACTTGGGAGATCAAATATGTACGCTTTCTCTTTCAATTATGAAACAAGATACGCCATCGCTTCCTTGATTTTAATTTTCTTGACCCGACATGGGAAATCAATCTAGGACTTATAAGTTTTGGATCTTCATTTTCCCAACATTAAAAATACATGAATTAAAATAAATAAAGGTCTCCAAAATAGTATTTTTTTTCATAGCAAAAACTTTCTGTCATTGTTCCAACTCCTCAAATAATATTTGGGGAAATAATATTTGTACATAGAGTTGTGTAGCTGAAAAAGATTGCAAGTGGGGCAGTTAGCAGCAGAGGCCAAGTCAAGGAAGAATTTAGAAAATCAAGAAAATGACAAATGGGTCTTGTTTGTACAATTTTTTATATATATTTTTTCAGGAAAACTTTGATTTTGGGACTATTTCTATGTTTGATTTACATTATTTTCCTTTTCGCATGTCACATTTGGTAATTTTGTCCACTCTCTCTCACATTATGTTATATCCTTGCTCTTAAAATATAGGTAAGAAATTAACAAAGGGGTATGATTTGTCTTTTTCCCTCCCTTTTAAATTATGTCATTTCTATGGTAAGATTGATTTATTGGTATCTGGTCGATTCACCATGAGGTCGACTACTATTGAATTGACAACATGATGGAATTCGACGGTGAATTGGAAATCAAAAACATTTTTAAAGATTTGAAAGATAAGTTTTATAAAATTTGGGTTTATTCGTATATAAGGAAAATTAATTTGGTAGAGAGGAAATATTCAAAATTTTTATTTTTTGATATATATATATATATATATATATATATATATATATTTAATTTATGAGATTTATTAAATTTTAAGCCCCTTGATGGCTACTTTATTTAATTTTCTATTTTTCAAAAAGCTAAACTTGTCACCATTTGTTTTGTCATGAGCTACTTTCTAAAGGGTTTTCAAACTTTTTGGCAAATTTTCAATACATATTATTTAAAAAAGTGGAAAATAAAGTTAAAAACTTGAAAAAAAAACAATATGCCAATATTATATTAATATTAAGATAAGATTGGTTAGAAAAATCATAAACATATCTTCTAATAAAGGTTACATCTGCAAAGAGGTAAGATTATTGGTCAAACTCATGGCATGGGATGTGATGAAATCATGACAACTTCTCAAATAATATTTGAATTTTGACCTTTGTTGTCAAAAAGAACATGCTACTATATATTATATTTTAAAGGACTCCCGATTTGTTTTGGGTTAAATTAGAATAATTAATATTCTCATTTTTGGGCTTATTTGAGTTTGATTGGAATGAATTTCAAGTTTCACCGAGGGTCGTTAAAGTGGGTGTAGTTCAACGATCTCTTATGTTCACGTATTGTACTAAAAAAAAAAGAAGTTTCATTATGTTCTTTATGATTTGATTAAATTTTTTAAAAAAGTTTCCTTTTTATTGGAGAACTCACATGATTTTGTTGTTTTTAACGTGACCGAAACCTTGACCCAATCAACAAATTATATAATGATATTTCTTTTTAAATTTAAGAACTCACGTGATTTTGTTGTTTTTTACCTAACTTAAACCTCAACACAATCTAACAAATTTTACATTCGTCCATCTCGATTTCTTTTTTTTTTTTTGGAGTTCAATAATATGTAGAAACCTTTAATTTTTGGTTGATGATATATATTTTAATTAAGGTTCAAAATGTCGATGTTAATGAAAATGTTGAGGTCCCGATTTTTACGGACATGTTGATATCGATGGATATTTCGAGAAAAATCACGGAAATTGTGGATTTTGATACAAATTTGTTGAATTAGTAAATAAGACTCTAGTTATAGCTTAATTAGCTCATAATTAATCTATTTTAATAATCATATCTAAATATATAAGTAATATAATATAGCACCCCAACCTCCTCTCAAATTCGTATTTCAATTTCCAGCGCTATTCCTCTGCTTTTCATCGAAATTTGTGGCCGACAATTAGACGACATGTCGTTGATATCTCGATTTAGTTGAACTATTTTCAGATAGTGTCGACTTATATTTTAACATGAATTTCAATTTAGTTGTTACCCTACTAATAATATCATTATTCTATTATCTTTTAATTAAAAGTTACCAAACAAAGAAATTGAAACGTCCAAAAGATCATATACAAAATATAAAAAAAAAAAGGGATTAGTACGTTTGATTCATTCTACAAAATTTACACTTTTATCTTAAAAATACATAAAGATGGAACTCATGTGCATATGGTTGATTTGGGATTTACATTTTAAATCCCTGAATTTATGCACCTTTCCACCTCCCTTGAAAAAAATTCTCTAATTTTTAGTTATTTCTTCATTTCTTCATTCGTCTTCATTTTCTCTCGCTTTTCACCATGGTTTCCGGCAAGCCATCTCCTCGTCTTCTTAGTGTTCTACTGTCTTCGACAATCCGGTTCCAATTCACTTGCTTTTCACCATTGTTTCCAATAGCCAGTTTTCTGCCATTTACGTTTTAAATATTGTAGGTTTGTTTTTTATTTCTGATTTTGGGTGTTCGATTTTTGGGTATTTAAAAAGTATTAGATGGTAATGTCGTATATATTTTATTATGTAACTTTATTTGCTTTGTTTGTTAATTGTACATCGATATAACCGTATATACTTTATAGCCCGATATAAGTTGATGTTATAATGGCTATAGTTTATTTAATTGTATGTTGCTTAAGTTTACAGTCGGATATAGTTTATATTTCCATATAAATGAAAATGTCGCCGTATATAGTTTATATCTCCATATAAGTGTACGTTATAATGGCTACACTATTGAAATTGAGTAAAAAAATTAGAATTAAATGAAAAAATATTTTGTAATAAATTTCACTCTTTAGCAGGATATATTAAGGAGTAAATTTGAGGATTATGAGAATAATGGAATATTTTGTAATAAATTTCTTTCTTTAGAATATATTAAAGAGTAAATTAGAGGATTATGAGAATAATCGATTTAGGTCCCACAATACTTTAATGTTTACAAAATCAAATTTGGAACATTAATATTTTACATTTAAATAAAATGCTAACTATAATAAATATAAATATCATAAATAAGAGTAAATTTGACATTTGGAAAAGTTTTAAATCTATAAATCTAAGACCGTAAAATTGGTAAACATCAGACATCTGTGAAAATAAGTTGAAACAGTTCAGACATTACCTCTTGGAAAAATACAACAAAAAACATATGGGGGCATTTTGGTACAAGGTTTTGGGCATAGGAATGGGTATTGAGCTGGACATGGAAATAATATTTTTTTTTTTTTGTGGGATATCACATGAAAATAATTTATTCTCAAGTATTCCTTTTACACATAAACAAATGTATTTTATGCCCTTACAAAAACCAATGATTTTCTCTTTGCCCCTTCATTTCCTTTCATTTTTTTGCTTTTTCATTCCTTTTTATATTAAAGGTATATATAATTTCAGTAAATAATTATTTAATTATAGTACAATATTATTTAAATAATTATTTAATATTATTTTGGACGACTCCTAGATTTGTTCCCCTATACCCAGAGACAACTGCACTCGAAAGTTCATATAATTTTATTAAACATATTTCTTTTGAATTTGACTTAATAAAATTAAATTAACTCACAACAATTAATTATTTAAATTAACTCATATAAATTAACGGTTGGAATTAATTTTGATGCTTTATAATTAACTAACGCAGCAATCTTTGATTCCTAGACAACTTATTCTCAAGCACCTTATCCTCAGACATCTTATTCTTAGGAATATTGAACTAAACCTCAAATCAAACGAAGCAAGTCGAAAATTCCAAGGTTAGTATACCATTACAGAAGCCAATAGAGCCAAAGAAACAGACTTAAACAAAACTGAGGGAGGCAAACGCCCCTTGTCCCTACGAATGAAGAGGGCTTCATATGTGGGCAAGTTAGCCAAAACAATCAGCCCACAAACAACAGTTTGCAAAAAGAACCTGTTCAAACCTTTGTAAAACAGCCCCAAATCCAAAGCAGCAACATTCTTAATAATTCCCAACAACAAACCAAACAGGTTCAGCATGGCAAGTGTTGCTATGATGGTGGGCATGATGGCTGAACTCCCAAACTCTAGGATCTCTTGTTCATATCTCTTTGAAACATCCTCAGCTGCAACTTTGGCCGTCACAGCAAATTTGGTCTGAGAAAGCCCAAGTTGCTTGATGATTGTGTCGATGAAGGCGAAGAAGAACGCAGTGGTCCTTCTGAAAAGTAACATTCTTTGTAAGTTCCACCAAGCCTTGAGTGTGCTGCCACAAGTTATGGCCTCAGCTATGCTCCAACAGTTATGGGTTACAAAGACGTATGCAAAGGGTATGGCCCATAAGCTTTTAACCTGTAGTTAGAGAAGTCAAAGCATCATTTTACAATTGAAGTTTCCAGAAAAAATGAAACAAAGCCCTGTTGTCCACTTCCTTTTGCCATTTATTTGACTTATCGTGCCAAATTAGTTGATATTTGCATGCCACAACATAATTTAGTTAATGATTTCAACAATAAGGACTACATGAAGAATCACAATTCAAAATTCAGGAACTTATCTATATATTTTTAAGTTTAAAGACTAATGGACACTAACAGTTAAAAAGATCCTAGACCAAATTTGTAATTTAACCTATCAGTTAGTTACTAGGTCAATCAATAAGGGAGTGCCTCTGCGAATAAGGACATAAGACTAGAAAAAGATACCTCTGGGAATAGGGGAATCCCTTGAAGCAGACAAATTGCAGGAACAGTGGCATAATACAGCATTGGTATCGAAAGTGGAGCCCATAAAAGATATACACAATATCCCATTTGGGCTCCAAATTTGATCTTCCCATGTGCATATATGAAGGGGCAATACTTGGACAAAAATATTTGAAACATGCCTTCAGACCACCTCTTAAATTGAACTAGTGCTACATCCAAGCTAATCGGAGCAACACCCAAAAAAGCTCGTTTCTTTGGATTATAGTAAACTGATCTCCAACCTCTGCATTGTATTGTTAACCCAGTAACAATATCTTCAACTGGACACCCATATATCAATCCCATCTGCAATGCAATTCAACATCCATCTCATTTTAGAGAGAGGCTCATGTATTAATCCAATCAGCAATTTATTATCTAGGTTTATATTTTATTTTGAAACTCTTGAGATAATTCCATTTTTGCCCTTGAACTTTCAAAATCTTTTAGGTTTGTCTATTTTAGTCTCTTTTAACTTTTGAAATGTTTATTTAAATTTCTAAACTTACAAAAGAAAACGACCATTTTGACCCCTTAAGCTCAAGGACTAAGAAAGACATTTTTTAAGTTCTTGGATCAAAATGGAGCAAACTTAAAAGTTGAAGGATCAAACTAGAATTTAAGTCTAATATCTATCTCATTAGGAAGAGAGAGAGAGAGACCTCCTTTCCCCATTGAGAGCCATTCTCAAAGTTGCAGTCAACAAGAAGCTTACATGCTTCTTCCAATTCATAAACAGTTTTTGCAACTTCCTTCTTGGTTTGCACATCCAAGTGTACTGATCCACTAACATCTTTGCTGTACTTCTTCCCACAGAGAGTTTCCCTTCGATGGAAACATCCAGTTCCACAATACAAGGCAGCACCATAGCCATCGAGAGCAACTAGATCAATCTGCAGCAAGACAATATGTATTATTGCATCATCTTGCTCATTTACTTTCTTTGTTAGAAAATAATGACATTTCTTTCTGATTCTCACCTCATTACTAACTTTATCTGGAATGCCATATATCTTGTTCTTTGTGACATTGTTGTAATCTTGTGGGAATTGCACAAATGCAATGTCATGGCTTTTCTTTCGATCAAGGAAAAAACATAGTGACTCCTTTATTGTGTCTGGATTATTTGAGTACATGTCACAATCTAAGTTGAGGATGAAGGGAGCATTGCTTATCTCTGAGGATACTCTAATCTGCAACACATTTGTACAACTCTAATTGTTTCCTTATAAAAATAACATGCAGACAGATCCAGTTTAGATTAAGTTATCAATTTAGCCCAATGATTTATGTTCGGTTTCACATTAGTCCAAAGAAACTGTGTTAGGTAGAAAACTGTTATGATCTAGTAATAATAAGGATTTTCTGCAATTTTACTGAACTACAAAGATCGAGTTAAAACTCTTAAAACTAGGAATTAAGTCAAATTCATACACAAATCATTGGAACTAAAACGATGATTTAACCTAAATTTTTTGCTACAAAACTTACCAATGCATTCATAGCTCCAGCTTTAAAATGGTGGGGATGCCGAGGTCTCTTTTCACGTGACATATAGACTAATTTTGGCAGTACATATCCATCAACGTCCACAGCATCATCATTTTTCCCGTCAACTATTATCTGCCATTGAAGGAAAATAGTAAAAAGCTAATACAAAAAGCAATGGCTTGAGGATATGTATATTAAGGAAGTTAAGGGAAATCACCTTGACAATGGATTGATGATTTTGCTTCGTTACACCACAATCCCACTCAGAGAAACCTTTATTATGATCCCTAATCTCCTTGGGAACCTTCCCCATTTCGACCACAGAGTTAATTCTCTCCTTCATTTCATCATACAGTTTCTGTGCAAACCATCAAGAACTTCAACTAAATTACATTCGTTACTCAAAACGCTGACCAAATCTTCAAGAAATGAAAAAAGAAATCGAAACCCATTACCTACCTTCATGGCGACCCACTCTTGAGAACGATGATGTTGCGCAGAATCGAGATAGAAGTAGGCCTCCGGAGACCTAGGCTCGACCATGAACTTTCTACAGAACGGCAACCAATGCTTCGAGAAATTTGAAGCTTCGATAAGAGCATAGAATGTGAGCTCAGAGCCGCCGTCGTCGGAGAGATAAATGGCCAATTTCTCAGTTGGGTAATCGTAGGCCATGGCGGACAAGACGGTGCTGATGACCATGATCGGCGGTTCGATAATGGGGTCGGCTGTGCAGACGAATACATCGACATTGGGTAATTGGTCGTCGTTGTACCTACAGATTGAGAACCAGAGAAAGCCATTTCCGCCATGGAAGTGAGAAGCTTAAGCGAACCCATTTGTTTTGTTGTTTCAGTCCCAATAAAAAAATTAAAAATTCTATTGTTTTGTTTAAGGCAATAAATTTTATTTGAAACATGTAGGAATTTTTCTTTTTTCCATTTTTTTTAAGTTTAAAATATGTAGGAAATTTTAAATTCTTTTAAAAGGTTGATTATTTAAATTGTTTTTAAATATTAATGATTGATTTTGTGCTAAATGCTTGGTCGAAATAGATTCGATAGTTGGACTTTCGAAATTTTCATTTTTTTTAATTTGACCATTGCCTAAAAAAACTCACTTATCGATACATATGACATCATAATTTATTTTGTTAAAATCAAAATAAAGATAAGAGTCAAAACTAATATTTTTTAAATTTAAAGACTCAAATAAACATTTTGTGTCAATCTAAGTAAATAGCTCAATAAATTCGAATTTTCATCACACGTGTACTAAAAAAAATACGTTTTGAAGGTTCTAGAATGAAATGAAATAAATTTAAAAATTTAGAAAGTAGACATCTTCGAAATAAAAACTAAGTTAAAAAAAAATAAAAACAAAATTATTATCATTGTCAAACACAACCGTATCAAAAATAAAAAATTTCTTCAATTGGAACCAAAACTAAATTTAAACATAAATTGATTTGTATTTACATTTCACGATTAAATTAAAAATTTAGTCCATGTAGGTTCGTGTTTGTGTTTAACATGTCCCTAAACTTATAACATATTCATATTCTTTCAATGTTTGTGATAGGTTTTTAAACTTATTAAATTTTCAATTTTATGTTTAAAGGTCTAACATATTAAAAATAATTTTAATTAACGGATCTATTAAACATTAAATTAAATTTAAATTTTTATCTAATAAGATCTTAAAATTTCAAATTTGTATCAATATTCTTTAACTTTTTAAAAAATAAATATAGAATAGGTCAAAATCTATTAGCCACAAAATTAAAATACTAATAATCATGCTTATTAGACATAACCTTTAAAAATTCATAGACTAAAATTATAATTTAATTTAAAATTCGTGTGATATATTTACATTTCGACCCTCAAATTCAGTTCTTTTATGTCAATATACACAACATCCATTATCAGTATATATTTTGAAAAAGATAAAATTGGATGACCCAATGAATGTTTTGTTATTCATGTGAAAGAATTATTTTATTACAAAAAAATATTATCAATTCAAATGAAACTTTACTTTTTGGTTTGAGGATTTAAAATATATTATCCTCCAATTATTTTCTCAAAATTAGTAAACAACTTGTTTGATTAATAGTTAGCCTAAATTGACTTACGTTGAATTTGATTTTCTTTTAATTAAACCTATAAAATTTGAAGTTATTAAAAAAATGTACATTGGCCAATTTTTCAATTTTAAACTTTATTATTATTTATTCTCTCTAAATTTTTAACTACAATCTATTTTAAAGTTTATTTCTCAATCTAAAATTTTCTCTCATTCTCTAAAATTTCTTTTGTTCTTGTCTAACTTTTCTCTCTCTAAAATTTCTATCAAATTCTATGTTAAACTTAAAATATCAATGATTCAAAATCACTTTTAATTATATAAAATTCACTTGGAAAAATTGGGTAAACAAACATTAAAATAAATATATAAAAATCACCTTCACGTAATCAATTTTTATTAATCTATTTTGCTAAAACTGCCTATTCCTAAAATCATTTGCCCATTCCCAAAAGTTTGTCGATTTCATTTACAAATTATAAAAAATATAAAAAAAAACCACCAATTTTAGCTTACATCCTTATAAACTATTAGAAGAGNAAAAAAAAAAAGTAAAAATAAAGATAGAAAAATCATTGTTTGAAAGAATAGATAAATTCAACCTATAAAAGAACAAGGTAGTGGTTACGAAACTAATAAAAATAATAACATAAAATACAAAGTCTTCTCATCCTACTTACATTTTAATTTACCTTATGAAAATTCTGTCAAAAGCTTATTCAACAATAAAAAGTATTTTAGTATTTTTCGAGCTTACTCGGTAATTAGTACATATTTCTAATCAAAAGATCATGAATTCAATTTCTTACCTCATTTATTGTACTAAAAGAAAAAAAGTATTTACGCATTAAATTAAAGTCAAAAGTTCCAATTCATACGCTCCTAAATTTGTTGTAATAAAAAAAATATACATCTTATAAAAAAAGTTTAAGTAGCAAACTATTCTTATTAAATATAAGTGAAATACCTAAAAGTAACCATAGTTAATGGGACTCAAAGGAAAGAAATAACAATAATAACCAACCATAGTTTAGTTAGTATGGAATTAAATGGATTGGATTTTTTTTTATAATAATTAAATGGATGGATTAAACAATAGTTTCTAACCTTTTCTTTTATTTTTTCTTTGGAATATAAATAATAGTTTCTTTTTCTTTCAACCTCTTGGGAGATAGTTAGGCAAAAAAATAAATAAATAAAGTTTAAGAACCTATCAATTGTTTCAACCTCTTGGAATAACAATAAAAATAATTATTTTAATAGGTATGATATAATTGAAAAATATTAAACTATAGATAATCAAATTGAAACTTTTTAAATAAGAGTCAAATTAAAACATACCTAATATATATTTTAACCTTGTAAGATCTATCTCTCTCAAAATCTTAGCTATGAGGAGCAAACGGTTTCCATCATCGATTATTATAGGAGTATTATTGTTTTTTATTACAATAAATATAGGGACAAAAGCTAATTAAACTTCGACCTGCCTTAAATTTTGAACTATGTTCATGTGGTTAGAAAATTAAAAATGATATTTTATTTACTTTTTTTTTTATATGTAAGTGTTCGGACCAGTTTATGCATATTTCGATTAGTCTTATGAGACAACTGTTTGATCTTAGTGGATGGTGAACCATGATTTCAGCTAATTCTTTCTAGATCTTTTGCTATTTACACTGCTCTTTATTGACTATTACATCACACCATGATGATTTAAAAACGATATTTTAATCAAACTCTCGTGAAAAACTAATCGAACCGAACCGAAGAGAAGTGGGAGTGGATGGAGTATGTGAGGGAGAGGAGTACCTTATAGAGAGGTTATCCATGAAGGGGAAGTTGTAAGTGAGTCGCCAGCGGAGGGACTGAGTGATAATCCAATAGAACCCAAAGAGGAGCTCGGAGAAGAAGATTCCGATCCAGGCCCACCGCCGTCGTCCTCCCTCCTCCGCCGGCATCTCCGCCGCTCTGTACCACCAGATCAGGCATATCCCCGCCGCCACCGTCGCCGCCACAGCTCTGTGAGCTCCTCTGTGCCGCCCCTCTCTCCTCTCGAACAACGACGTCGTTTCTTCCATGGCTTTCTCTTCCCTCCCTCCTCCTTATGTAGTTTTCATACGCCTTTCTTTTTTCGGCCAAATGTACTTTTGCCGACCCATATGTTGGGGTCTACATATTATATGCTGGTGATTTTTTTTTTTTGGAAATATTTAGGCCTCACCCGTCCCAACGATCAATCTTATCTTGATTATGGTTAACAAATTGACGGTTCATTATCATTAAAAAAAATTTTTTTTTTGTATTTTTTTCTCTTTAACTGTCGAACATATTAATGGTGGTGAAGATACGAGAACTAAGTATTTTGTTATTTTTTAAGAAAAATACTTTGGTTTCTTACTCGTGAAGACCAAATATTGTTTTATTGAAAAATTGACAAGTCGATTAATTTTTTTAAAGGAATCTATGTTTTTTGCATTTCTCTCTCTGAGTTGTCAAACATTTAATGGTAGTGAGATATTTGGTAAGGAGTCAAGTATTTTTCGATAATATTTAGGTCTGACTTATTTTGTACTCACTCATCATTATTTGACAATTAAGAGAGGGAAAGGTAAATATAGAGGCTTTTCAAAAATAAAATAATAATAATAACCATCTATCAATTTTTTAATGGTTGAAGACCTAAGTATTTTCCTTTTCCTTTATTGATTAAACTGAATAGTTTCTAATCTATTAGATAGTTCTCAATTTTGTGGATAAGACATCTATTATCATCATTAATGTCGATAGTTCGATCCACACCTCACTTCACTGTTGTTGGTTGAAGTTAAAAGAAGAGAAAAAAATCTCAAACTTAATGAACTGGTGAAGCTAAAATCCTCAATTAGTCACTTGTTTGAAAGAAAAATATTTTGTTATCGAAGCTTGAGGTTTAATTTGATAAAAGCAAAAGTTTAACATTAAAATTGCCTAATTAAACCAATTGTATGGGTGAATTTTTAAATTTTAGTCGAATTGATATCATGTGACAAATAATTAGAAAGACTACTAAAGTTTATTGCATCAACATAGAATCAATCCAGACTAAAAGACTATACAAGAAGTCGAGTACATGGGACGATTCCGTGGGGACACAAATCCTTGGATAAATTCCTTATTCTCTCAACAACCAAGATTTTTTAGTTTAGAAAATTCCAAAGACAAGATATCTAGAAAGTTTTTAAGTTATCTTCATCTACCAAGAGAAAAAAATCTTGTTTCTCTTAATTGAGGTGCATTGTAAAATTCTAATTTTTACTGTACTTCGACACAAATTCAGATATGACTTAAGTATCAAAGTACATGTTGAGCTAGCACCATACTGATGAGTATTCTTTTTGTTTTGTAGGTTTCGTGGAGTGTTGTTAGCCATAAACATAGTTTAGTGGTTAAGATATCTTAAAAACTCTTTCTATGAAGTTCGATCCTCATACTCACATTTGTTGTACTAAAAAAAATCTTATTGAAATTTTTTTTGGACTCATAGAATTAAGAGAATTTTAAATCGTCAAATGAAATTACTAGATGAAATTTGTTGGGGGAGAAATCCGAGCAGGCGACGTGTTGAGCTTTGAGGAGAAACTTAGGCACGGGACCACATAATGTACGCTGCAAACTTCATTATTAGAGCTGTATGGGAGACACGTCGCAGGCCTACAGTAGGGGAAGATAGATCAGCTGGTGGAGACACCACCCACTAGCTGTATCGGAGTAGGAGGTGTTCGAACATTCTAGGCTAATAAATTAATAATAATAAAAAAATTGGAAAAGGTACAATGTTTCATTTAATATCCTGCAACATTTACAGTGAGGAGACATTGGTCAAACTTCGTATATCCCAAGAATTGTCCCTTGTCTTCATGATTTGAGATTTATAATAGTATAATATTGATTTATTATTACCCAAAATAATATTTCTAATCGTTGAGGAATTTAAGGGGAAAAAAACCAAAAATATATAACAAACTGTTTAGTACCGTTCAAGTAAAAGAGTTGCCAGAGGTGGAGTAAAGTAGGACACTTCAATCCTCGTTCAAATCATGGATTTAAAAACTCAAAATTAGGGATGGCAAAAAAAATTTGGAGATCGTCAATCCGATCCGATGGGAGAATTCTCAATTTAATTCGGGACAGGGTAAAATTGAGGATTCTAATCAGGATCCCTGACGGGTACAGGGCGGGGATGGGGAGGTCTCCACCCCGTCCCAACCCTGTTTAATATTTTATTATTTTTATATATAAAATAATGTCAATATATATTTTTTTTATAAATACTTTTTTTAATTTTGTAGCTATATTTAATTAAATTTTATATTATTCCATTAAAAAATCTATATTTTCCAAAGAATTAAAATATTTATAAATTTTTTTTAAATAAAAATGAGGAAGAGAAAAAAAATACCCAACAGGATAGGGATGGAGATGGTCCCGTCCCATCTCGTTATCATCCCTACTCAAGATTTGAACAGTAAATCTACTATT